GGGGACTTGATCACACTAACAAGGCTCTCAGCTTCCCCAGCAGATTGATGCAGGGAGCAAAATCTCACCATGCCAGGATTTCATGTGCTTGGCATAACACAGGGCATGAACCAGTATCCATTCTCCTCCTTCTATCCCGAGCTTTTCCTTCACTTTCTCTGGTCCTTTCCTCTTCAAGGCTGGTCATACTGTGACCAATGGGAAAGTCAGTGTTAGACTAGCCTTTTTCAAACCCATCAATCCTGTTCCTCATGGGGATAGGTGACAGTCTGGAGGCTGAGGTGGGCTGGAGTCTCATTTTCTGGGGAGAGCCTGGAGGGACTCGTGAATGGAGATCATGTTTAGCCAGAGCAGCTGGACTAATGGAGTGGGAAATGGTCTCAGAAATGAAGAGAGTGATATCTGACAACTCATGTCCTGTGAGCCCATGGCTGCATAAAAACATCTGACTCTCTCCCAGAGCAATCTGGGGAGATTAAAAATAGCTATTTGTTTTTGTTGATGACAAGGTAATTTAACACAGGTCACTTACCCAGTCTGCTACACTGAGTGGCAACACGCACAGAGATGTGGGAACAAGTGGGCAGCACAAGGGGTGGAAAGGAGGAGGTGGGAGAGAGCCACTTCCTTGGGGACAGCAGCATCCCACACAGAGAATTCCAGTGTGGCTTGCCCTGGAGGCTGAGCGAGGAAGGAGAAATGGGCCTCCCCTTGGTGCAAGGACCTTATGGGAGAGGTGAGTGTGCTCCTGCACTGTGTGAGCTTGTCAGCTCAGCCCCCCGCTCAGAGCACAACAGAGACTGTCCCCTGCGATCACACCATATGGTCCTTCACAGGCTTTTCTTTTCAAAGAAGGGGAAATAAATAAAAGATGTCACCACAATACTGCTGGAAGTCTTTGGTGGCTTTATCCTTCTTCTTAGCTTCTTTCCTATCCCAGCACAGATTCATGTGTGTTTTCCCTCACTGAAATGGATCGATCTTCCCTAGACGAGAACAGAAAAATTCACACACCATCTTTTCTGTCTTCTCTTTTTTCCTGTCATGGACTCAGTGCAATAAGATGGTTAGATCTAATCCCAGCAAAGAAAGCACAAATCCATGATGAAGAATATTGCCGGGTCAAGGATCTGAATACATACTTGACTTTAGCACTTCTTTTCGGTTTTTCCCTTCTCCACTTTTGTAATTGAAAGCTCTGGCATTTTAGAGGGAAGATTTCACCCTGGGAACTGCTGGAGGATGCTGGGGGAGTTTCTTGTTCATCAGAATGTTTACAGAAAATTTGTCACAGCCTGACCAGATCTAATTGGCTTGATGTGTAAAGAAACAGGCTCCTTGGATATTTTTAGTACTCTTCAACCTTTCTAGCACAGAACTGTTGGGCGTTAATTAATTCCAGTTGTCTGACAGTTCATTCTTTCAAAGTTGGATTCTCACAAATAATTTAGCTCCAGGTGTCTTTCAGATCCAATGATAAGACAACAGGATGCTGGCATTTATCATGTGTGGTGTCTTGAGCATACATTTTCTGATGTTTGATACTTTGGACATTATATACCTTTTTATTGCCTTTGCAACTATCCATCTTTTTCTACTAGTGGTTTCATTACTTGTGCTTTAGTCATTGACAGGCAGGAGAAATGCCCCCAATTAACACATCGACCTTTCAGTAGCTGTCATTTATTTGTACAACATTTTTTCCCTAGCTAAGATGCATGGAGCATTCTGAACATCTTCACTTTGCTGTCTGCATCCAATTATTTTTACTCTGTGTTTTTATAGTGTAGCTCCATTCATACCAAACCTATTTGGGTAGCTTTACTACAGGCCATATGGTCTCTATTTGATTTTCCAGGACGTTTGGATGTTCTTATCCAGAATGCCCCATGTCTCTTCTTTAATTTCAAGATTCCTTACCCTCTGTGGTATGGAGAACAGAATTGGAGGGCCTTCTTCCTGTGCTGGTCACACTACAGCCTCAAGCTCATTTATCCCATGTATCCAACAAGACTCAAGAGATTTTGTGATTATAGTGGAAAGAGTTAATTTTTAAAAATTCTATTACTAAGTTTCCAAAGTAAAAATTTCTGAGCTAGAACAGGAGACAAGGATTTAGAAGGAAAGAAAGAAGTACCAGATCAAGGCCAAATTTATGCTCCTGATAACTCACCAAAAGGTAGGTTTTTTATGACGGTGTTACAGTAGCCTCATATTCAGCTTTGTTTTGCCCAAGTTTTGGACCTATGAATGAGGATGCACTTGGGCATTGCTTAGTAAAACATGGATGGTTTTAATGCTCTGTGCAAACCAGCCCAGCCTAGACAGATACATAGAAAAACATCTATGAGATCCAGCCTTTGAAAAAGGGCTGCTGGGATACATGGACCCCCAGGAGGGGTTCACTCAGCTCACCCCTTTATACCTGCCCTGTCCTTTGGAAAGAACAGTTCCTCTTATTGAAAAACAGGTTAAAATTTGCACGGGCAGAAATACCCAGGTTTGGGCCCCTTCCTGTCCTGAGAGGACTAAAATTGCAGGTCTCAGGTGTCCCCTGTGAACAAGGTTGTGTGGCTTCATGGATGCTGGGAAATCTCTGCCTTTATCCTTGGTAAGAAGCAGCTGCTCTACCTGCTACTGGTTGGGTTTGGCACATCAGCAAACAACCACCAAAGGCAAGCAAGGACACTGTGTGATTTGGCACGGATTTTGGCATGAGTGTGCAAAAAGCTGTGTACAATGATGTCTGGCCAAGCTGCCACAGCACTTGCCAGCGGTGCTTGGAGCCTGGCATTCAGCTGCTGCACAAGGCCATGGCTGTTGTCCTCTTGGCCCGGCTGTTGGCACTGAGCTCATGCTTTGGGCCTCTGGAGCATAATATCCCTGTGAGCCTTGGGATGGGGACACTGGTAGAGTTGGTGTGTCCCCACCATGTGCTGCGGACACACAGTTCAGTCACTGAAGGTCTCAGCATGGAGGGAGGAACACACCAGTGCTGAATGCCAGCTGGGCTACCTCAGTTTCCTCTCTCCTTGAACCCTGAAACTGTGTGCACCAACCTGGAGCACTCTGTTGGCTAGGAAATACTTCTGCCACCCTTTCTGACTGGGAATTTGAGTCAGGAAGGATGGGGAGGGCATCGTCCAATTGGGCTTGGAGCATACTCTCCCTGTGCTGACAATGGGGACCCTTCCTGGTCAGTGAGAGCCCTCAGGGGAATTTTAGCCTCTTTGGGAGGCCTTGGGACCTCTGCAACAGCAAAGCTGTGGGTGCTGAGGTGATGTTTTCCCTGGAGACTTAAAGGCTTTGAGGTCCACAAAATACTTTGCCCTCTTGGACCAAGGTGCCTTCGTGCCTGCTCCATGCTGCTGACTACTACTCTAGATCTCTGCAAGCTGTGACCATCTCTCATCCCAAGGAAAGCTGCTCATTGTAGCGAGGTTCTGCGCAATGCAGTAAGCACCCAGCTGGGGTATAAAGAGGATGCCAGGCACCTGCAGGAGCCAGACCCCAAGAAGCTGCAGCTTTGGCCTGAGGAGAACCAACAGCAGGTCAGTTCCAGGTGGAGGCCATGGGTGGCTCAGTGACCAATCCAGCCCAGCCACGCCATGGTTGCCTCCTGACCTGCCCACAGCCTGTGCAGCCACTGCAAAGCATCCCCCACAGAGCACTGACCCTGGGAACAGGAGTTCCTGCTTTGGAACATCTCCACAAATTGACTGAAATGCTTTTCCCCCTCTTTTTCTCCTGTGGTGTTTTTGTTGTTGTTGATGTTGTTGTAGTTTTTACCACTCCAGGTTGTGAGTGGTATTGTACCAGAGTGATGTGCAAAGCCTTGGCTAGTAACATCTGAAATTTTCACTTGTGGTATTTGCTGACATTCCAGCATTGCTACGTCCTGCCTGCCATAAGCAGCTAAGCATCCTGCCTCAGCAGCTATTTCTAGGGCTTAATAAAGCAACTGATAGTGAAGACAAGCACGGACAGAAAACTGAGATTAGGGTACAGGAGATGACTTTACCAGACAAAATCACCAGCTTGTAGGTATGAAGCCCAGGTACAAATCAAGAGCATGTAAAAATATCAAAGTTAAAAACTAGATTCTGGGGATATTTAAACAGGAATCAACCACTATGCTCTTGTTGAACTAGAAGAGACTCTTTAGTTTCCTTTCTGTACCTCGTCAAAACATTCTTATCTATCCTTGTCTGCAATGTTGGCCTTGCTTTTCTTGTGTGGAGATATTAACTGAACATTATTTTATCTTTATCACTTCTCTTTTGTGTCTACATTGGTTTCACAACAGAGCAGAACTCAGAGATAAACTTTTATATCACAAAGAAAATATCTCACAACTGCCTCCGCCTTCATACCTTCAGCAAATAGTTCACAGTACAAGTCAATAAATCATCCTTTCTTTCACGTAAACTTGACTTAAACACTTCTGATGACCAATAAGGAGTAACTGAGACAGAGCATTAGCAGTAAACACGCTACTGCCGAGCACCCTGACCCCACAAGGATGGTTATGCTAACGGGTAAGACCTGTGGAGAGCAGGAGGAGGAGAAATACATTTGCTAAAAAGCATGGCTCAGATCCTCGAGGGGCAGGCAGTGATGGAGCTGCAGTGCGGTGCTAATTGGTACAACTGCCTGGAAAAATGTCTCTAAAACAACAGGCACTCAAGTTCAAGACCCACCGTGGTTTCAAATATCCACTGTGTAACCAAACAGTATCTGGCTTATTAAAGGAGGGCACAAAACCAGGGAGGAGAAGAGAACAACAGTATCTTTCCACATGGGTACTAATCTGGCCAGCAGGCAAAAAGAGGCCAGAGCCTCTTTTTCCCCAACAGGCTGAGGCTTCTGATGAATTTAATGTTCTCTGAAGACTGTCTAATTTGAAATCAAACTCACTTATGACCTTTTCTCTGAGCAGTAGGACAACAAAATCCATAATGAAAAGCCAGTCAAACAGAAGACAAGAATATGATTTTTTAAAATGAATGTTTTATTCATGAAGTATCTATAAAAATGTGTAAAATACACTCAAATATTTGATTTTTTTGACTGTAGCTAAAAATATAAAAATATACTTAAATGCTTAAATTAAACTGACAATAGTAGCACAGTTCTGTGTTCACCCAGTGTTTGTTAGGAACACAATTATAAGTAATTATATTGCATATGAGCATGGAATAAGTACTGAAAATATTTTTCAGGCACTTTACTCCAGGCACTGGCAAAGAATCTAAGGCTAGCCACATTTCAAAACTGTGGGGTTTTCTTTATAGTGTACTGCCCTGCTCTAGAACAATATATATTTAACTTCCTAATGTTACTTACAGTATTTCTCTAGCTTTCAAATAAACCAAGAAACAACTAAACTGTCATGGATATTAGACTACTGGCATTGCTGACACTTTATGTGTCCCGATTCCACAGTTTTTTCTCAATTAGCTAGTCCCTAGTCTCCAGTATTTCCTGCTAGCCTTAAAAAAAAAAAAAAAAAAAATCCCAGTTTGAATCAGCTGTTGATCTGTGAGGTCACTGATAACAAATCAGTTTGCTTTGGCCATAGAGGTGCTACCAACAGGTCGAGAGTTTGATTTTATCAGTGTGAGGGAGAGAGTTGAGGGCATGGAGTCTACAGGAAGTTGCCCAAGTGCCCACCTGGGGTGAGCACTCATTTCAATTGAAAGTTATGGCATCCTGGAGTTATAGGTCCCAGAGCTCACAGCTGCAGAGCCCAGACATCTGTGACAAGGCCATGAAGGAGTGGTGGTCATTCTATATTGCATTTTATTTACATAAACTCTACGTCTGAAGTACTGAAAGAAATCTGAATAAATGTTAGGCACCTGCCAAGGCACTCCTTGGAGCTGTGGCTGTGGTAGGCTGTATCTCTGACTATCAGATGCATTTCTTGGAGAGAGATGCTGACAGAGTGATTTGATGACTATTGTTCTCATCCCTCTAGTCCATATATTAAATCCCAGGCTGAGGAGCACAGCTAAGTGCTCATGTGCTCATGCTCTGTCTAGTGTTTAAGTTTGTGCTTTCAAAGTCAAAGTGTAAATAACCATATACAATACATAATATAAACTTAAAGCTCACATATTTTCTTTTCTTTGTTCTACAATTGGAAGGAAATTCATAGCATATTATGGCACAAAATAATATTTCTGGTATTTTAGGCATTATTTATTGCTAAATAACTATAGCAGCAGAGAAAAATGTATAAAGTTGCACTTTTTGACATCTTCACAGTATGCCTATTTCTCTCACCCACTTTTCTGTTCCATTAGTAACAAAAAATATCATTTATCAACTCCAGCTATGTAAAATCTATTTTTTCCCTACAATCACTAGTGGATCTTGTAATTTTATTGCACAGATTAAAAAATATTTATTACATTTTTTTCATTATTAAATAACTTTCAATACAAAATTTGAATTAACCTAAAAGCCCAACCCTGCAAGTGCTTCAGAAGTGGAACGGTATTTTCTTCAGGCAAGCATTCCAGTTGACTTTCATGAAAGTACTCAGGTAGCTTTGTGGACAATGCAGAAATTCAAGGGATGGGCTTCAAGTGTGCAAATCTTAGCTTATGGATCAGCAACAACATTAGCCTTGCTTTCTAACATTATTATTGGGAAACATCAAGAAGGGAATTCTGAACATCATCAAGGACATTCAAAAGATGTCTTTTTCCTTAAGAGCGGTCTTTGTTCAGCACACAAACTCCCTCAAATGTATTCTTGTTACATTAACAATTTCCCATCAGTCCTGTCATTCAGCTTAGAGGCACAGTAAATATAACTACTTATACTGATAAGTAGGTGTTGTATATTAACAAAATGCTACATAGATACTTTTTTACTTTTTCTCATTGGATTTACACTGATTTCATATGAGCAGAATTGGCTAGAGAGCAGAACCAGAGCAATAATGTGTGTATACAGTCTCATGTGTGACCTACTTGGGCAGAAATGTAAAGCTGCTCAAGAGCATTGTGCCAGAGTGTTTAAGGTCATCTGTCATGTTATGAAGTGATGAGGAGGAAGAGGCTTATGAACTGTGTCCATTATTAGCTGAGAGAAAAGATGAAACTAGCTGTCTGCTATGAGATCATTTTGGGTACAAACTATAAACTCTGTAGCTGCAGACAAGGGAGCTGAGAATGATAAAATAAACTGTAGAATGATGTGTGTCTTTCTGAAAATGATGAACAACATGCATACAGAGCATACAAGCAGAATTTTGCCCTCAGATCATATAGTATTGAGTGAGCTCCATTTCCCTCAGCATTAAAAAATGACACAGTGATATAGAGTGTGAGGTAATTTATAGGGTACATTTGGTGTGTGTTAATAGTGTAATTGTACTGCTGGTAACTAACATGGTGATCTTCGTTCCTTGGCTACCCCTGCAAAAAATAAAGGACCAAATGCAGTGCATGTAACACAACAGCAGTTTTCACAATGCCTTAAGTGCACAGGTTATTAGCCTGATCAACAGTTGATCTAAAGCTGCCATGCTTGTTTGTCCTCGCTTGCTAACCTAGCCATCTAGCAAAAGGAAATAGAGAAAAGAAAGCATCTAAAGAAAATGTTCACATTTCTTTGTGGTTTTTCTTAGACTTTCCTCTTTGAAAATGTCTTCCACCCCAACACTAGTTCCCTTCTTCTTCGGTTTCCATTAAGGGTGGTGAATTTTAAGGTTTGTGTGGTACCAACGAGCATGTGCAGGAGGGAATGAGCAGTATTTTCATTCAGAAACACCTAAAAAGAATAAACAAGTTTACATGTTCTGAGCAGCTGTGACACCTGATTTGAAGGGTGGCTTCTGAGGCATGTGAGGGTATTTGGTCAAGAAAGGATGAGATTCCAGATGGAATAAGAAGAGTGGCTGTTACCTTCTCTAGGAAAACTAGAATAACATGGATATGCACAGTCCTGCTGTGGCACTGGAGTTCCTCAGTTAGGCACTCAGTTTACTACTTACTGATTCTCAGAAGGCCTTCAGAAATATTTATTTTTCTCCAAAACAGAAGTGGGATTTAGGCACTTATCTTCAGCAATAAGCTAAGTTTTCTCTATGAAGAGTATGGGTAGATATATGAAAAAAGAACTATGAAGCCCTTCCTTCATGGTGGAGACAAACTATGTACTGTCTCTTCACTATTTGTTTGAGGAGCATTTTATAAAGATAAGTAATAGATCAACAGAGTGTTTAGACCCTTGAATGAGATGCCTCTATGCAGAGGAGAGAGAGGCTGTGCATAATCCACTTGGCTGGGCAGGATACCTGGTAAGAGCTCTTTGACTGTACTTCTTGCTATCATTCAGTTCTTTTATTCATACAAAATTAAGTTGATATGTTTTGAATTTTAAACATGTTTTCAGTAATAAGGCCCTGCCTGGGGGCATGGGGGTTGGAACTAGATGATCTTTAATGTCTCTTCCAACCCAAAACACTAGGTGATTGTATGATCAGGACAGCCCTGCCAGCCTACATTCCTTGATGAGCCTTCTTCCATTCCAACTGCCCCTGTGGTGGTGACATCAGGTAACATTCCACATGCTGGGGCCAAGCTGTCCCTTTGTGAAAGCAAGTGGCATTTGAAGGATACCACCACTTGGGGCAAAGTGCAGCTTTACACCAGGTGAGCATACTGTGGGATATATACCTTTATATGTCTTTGTTTCAATGTTTGCGATCTCTCTATTTTTTTGGCTGTCATGGTACAGCATTGTTTCTGATGAGCTATGGAAGCTGTCAGACTTCACATCTTCACAGGCCTGTTAACACAAATGTCTCAGGAGCATTTTTGAACACCTTTCTTAATTAAAATTTTACACATGTGAAAGTGCATAGACACAAGTTGTGGTCTGATTCTGCTCTCTTAAACCAGTGTAAAGAAATCATGATGTGACCTGTCTCCCCTCAAAGTATTTGGTCAGAGAAAGGTCTGCTAGACTTCACTGCAGCGTGAAGTTGTTTGCTATTTTTCTACTATGTCACACTAAACTGAAACAGTTGCTTCTAGTGAGGTGAACCCTGTTTTGCTCAGTTGTTAATGAGTTCTGTAAAAGGTATGCCACTGTGATATGGGTTACTCCCATTTTTGTCAGATGAAAAGCAGTAAGTTTAAAGTGTAGAGTAGCATTGTAATTCCTACACAGGACTACTGTTTCCTTGCTTAATAGTAGCTTATTTAATCTCACAAACAAAGAAATATTTTTTAAAAATGAGGTTCTCTGTATAGGACTTTTTCCGTGTCATGCCAATAGCGCCCCAAATGCAGCAGTCCTGTTAGCCATACAATTTAAAATAGTTTATGTAGAACAGTTTTTTATAAACTGTGATAAGAAAAAATAGTATTATCTGAAGCATAATATTAATATAAACAACATAGAAAAAATACATATTTACATAATGCCAAAATACAATTATATACATTAATATCTATTACATTTAAATTATATATCTTTAGAAAAAATCACCAGACCAATAAATTATACACAGTGTCAACCAAAAGGTCTGGCACCTTTCTGGTGCATGAAATACATACATAAAAAAACCAAAACAAGATCCATAGTTAACATAAAAGCAGGTATCTCTAACATTCTTAGTGTCTTGAATAAACAGCATCTGAAAGCAAGGAAAAATGAGATTAGAAAAAGTAAACCAACACAGATTCAGCAGTGATCTGAGAGGTAGCTGTGTGGCAGCAGCACTGGCTGGTGATGGATGTGACAGCTAAGTTCAGATCCCACCTCTGCTTGGTCTCCTCCAAGCCTGTTCTACCTGTATATGACAATTACTACAGGCTAAATCAAGTAAATTATTCGGATTTCTTATGATATAATCCTAACACCAAAAATTGTAGAATTACTGAGATCCTTCTGTCTGGACCCTAAAAACTTCTACATCCCTTAAGAATCAGCTCTACCAGGGCACAAGGTCACCACTGCTTACAGCGTCTCCACGCTGGTCCTCCGGCCATGGGCCCAGGAAGTGAAGGGCAGTGCTGGCGCCAGGTTTGCTACTCCTGCCAGTCTCATCAGCAAGGGACTGGATGTAGGCTAGGAAAAGGAGCCTACAAGAATGGGGAGTCTGGGGATAAAGAAAGAACACAGCCTAGGGCATCTATATTTTCCAGTCAAAGCAGATGGGAAATCTTCCAAGGCTGACTATATTGTCAACAGCAGATGAGGGTGATGCAGACAGAACTTGAACTCCATGCATGACAGAAAAGCCCAGTAACTGCTGTCAGTGTTCTCAGTTGCTTATGGATAGTGAGAGCATAAAGGTAAGGTAGGAGCAGGAAGTGATGTTGTAATAACTACTAATGGAGAAAATAAAGACACAACTGCAAGAATGAAAAGAGCAGAGGGAACAAATGAAGGTCCAGGAAGCAAAGAAATATCAATAGTTAAAGACAGAAAAATTCCCCCTCAATTATCCTATCAGTGACCTACTACATTTGACACATTTTACAATTTGATAAACTTGCAGTTACCTCTGTGATACTCTGGATTCACATTTTCATATATTGGAAATAAGGGATTTTCTTGTTCACTGCGAAGTTTTCTGGCTCTTAGCACGTCTCTCACACATTGATGTAGATACACATATTGACACTGCAAAAAAATTTGTTTTTAAGACACTGAGGAATTTTGTAATTTAATTTTCTGTACTGCAAAAAATCGTTACAAGCTAACTCCCTCAAAAAATTAAGGGTGGTGTTAAAAATTAAAATATCATTCTAAAATCAATCTCCTTTTCACTCTAGGAATATAGTAATCTTTTGTGATCACCTCTTGTTAGAAATAACACCAGTAAAACCTAAATGAACACAGTATGTTTTGACAGATCATGCCATTAGTGAAAGCTTTAACAACTGTAAAGTACAATTTCACATGGTGCTATGTTGGATAGATACTACTTCTGAATGCCTTGGTATAAAGTATATGTAGAAGAATTAATATGCACAGGGAAGCATGCAGGAAAGACAAACTATTTCCTCATTTTTCTTTTTGTTCTGAAAAGAAATATTTTCCACAGAATTTTATAATAACATAAATATTTCAGACAACAGTGAGAAACCTAAATCTCAGAAAAAAAATCAGAAAAATCTCTGAAAAAACTATTTTTTTCAGATCCAGCATAAGTTTTAAGATTGTTTCTGATTATATAGCAAATGACAGTCTTTTCTGAAGAGTGCCTTTCATAGAATGGAGCTAAGATGACATTCACAACCAAAGTAAGGAGGGTCAGCATGTTATTGACTGCTGATTAGTCACCAAACTATCTTGACAGAATAGATTATTAAACTTTCATGCTTTGCTACTCTTTGTGTTTTGTGACATAGGTCAGAATAATCTTTTGATTAGTTAACATGGTACCCAAAAGTCAGGCCGAGCATGTTTATATGTCAAGGTGTACCTTTTTAACATTATCTCAAATACATAGTTTCTCCAATAAGTAGATGTATTTTCTCCCCTCATATCTTTGGCCATTGCTCTGTCTTTCAGTGTTCTGGCTCTGGGAAAATGAGGACATCTGCCTTTATGCACATGCAGCTGCTCTCTCTGCAGAGCAGAATCCTGCACCCCACCCCAACACGCTGGAAAGTTGGCCAAGCATGGAGACTTTCTTTGGCACAGACATTTTCAACTGGAATGGTTACAGCTGCTATAGCGTGCTGCCTTTTGAGCTGATGCACAGTTTTCCCTTGCCTGTCTTCACTTCCAATCCCTTGTCTTAAACAATGTTGAGCCAAGTCTGAAGCAGAGGCATTGTTTTATTGCTGCTGTTTTTCTGTGACTGAATATTGTCAAGTATGATGGTACTCTGTGGCCTTTGACTTTTGTGTGGATCTGGCTGCCTTTTGACTTAGACATCATGTCAAGCTCAAAGCATGCCAAAGGAAGGTTTTATATCACACAACTTTACTTGTTTCTAAGTCAAATTTAGGTTCTTGAGGTAGTTGCCTCTTTTTTTCCAGATAGGGAAAAAGAGCCATCCTCCTGAGATGTCCGTCTGCCTTTGCAGACTACGGATGATGGGAATATAGGTGAAGATGCAGAGACTAGGCTGGAAACCTGTCTCCCCTCCAACAGAAGGTCTTCTGTGATTAAAATATTTCCAGGAGCCCCTTAGTTTTGTGTTCCCAGCTGGGCCTCTCTTTATACCCATATGAGACATCTATCAGAAAACGTTGTCACTGACATATTGGTTTCCAAATTGCAGCAAAGAGCTCCATTAGTATCAAGCTACAGGCAGATGCATCAAACTTGTTCTCATTCTTCCATTAACGGTTCACAGGGAAAATATACAGAGTAACTCCACAAAACTTTATTAAATCAGCTCCTAAATATTTACCTCCTATCAGTATAACATTATTTTCTTGCCATTTAAAAGCACGGAAAGAAATACAAAACTTTTATTTTACAAATGCACTTGCTTTTCCATAGTATGTTAGGAGAATGCAAATCAACTTTCCAAAATCATTGTAATGAAAATGACAGAGCAGCTCAATAAAACATAAACTGCAAAGGCACAAGGTCACAGTGGCCAGAGTTTTAAAATCACATACATCTAATTTTCTCTGTCCTGCATTCCTCTTTCCCATTATGTCAACCTATCTGTCTGGTTTAGGCTTGTCTTCCAAACCCATCCCTGAAGGACCTATCTTCACTTAAAGCTCATTTACTGGGCTCTGCAGTGAAGCAACTGCGAGCTGTTATGTGCCTGATGCATAATGCTGCTGGGATGATTATAGGCCAGGGCACAAAAAGAGGAGAAATCTATAGGAAGCATAACTGCAACTTGCTATGGTTTGGACCTTTCTAAGAGAGCCAATGGAAAAAATCCTGAACTGGAAGTTCTCACAGAGCTAAAATACATATAGCTCTTATTTCACAGTGCAAAGTGCTTTGAGGGCCTTTAAGATAAGACTGATTATTACATACTGCAGCTGTTGTTGCTGCATAGCAGGCTATCCAAACCTTACCTCTGTCTGAACCATGTGAACGCGGTGAAGCCTTAGATCATGGACTGCTGCATAAATGTCAACAGCGTCCTTCGAATCCAGCTGTTGCAGGATTCGGTCCAGTGCAATGAATGTGCCAGTCCTGCCAACACCAGCACTGGAAAATAAAAACAACCCAAGAGATTTAAAAGCATATGGATCAAAACATTCACTATCTTCATGTGACACTTCACTATCTTTATGTATAAAGTTCAGATCTCCAGGGTGAGAAGCAAATTGTTCAAATGGCACCTTTGGGCCTTTATAATACTTTGTAATAGAATTTATTTAGGAAGGAGGAAAGGATAGTAATGGTAGAGGAATCTCCGCTACTGCCTGCTCTGCTTTCTGCTTTGTATTAACCCAGTCATTGAGATACACTGAAAGATTGCACCTGACTCTAACTTTGAAACCTCTTCTCTCCAGAGATGCAGCTGTGGGACACAGTAGACATCTGACATGCTGCAGCACATGCTGTACAGGCAGACACAGGCAGGGTCATGTAAGACACAAGCCTCAGCCCATATAATGGTGGAGGGGTCAGATACTACAATCAGGTACTTCCAGTGAACATATGGCTTTATCAGAATACACAGTACCAACTGCACTCTTTCCCTCTCTGTAGCCCTATACTCTGCTGCAACTGGCCAGTGGATAAGAGATCAGGCAGTTCAATTTTGTCATTTTTTATGCAGGTGTAGGGTTGGACCACAGAACTGAGGGAAAACTGCAGCCCTGTGACTGCCAAAGATGGAAAAAGCAGAAGAGCATGAAAAGGCAGTAAGAAAAGGGAGTCTCAGTCAGAATCAGGGAAGGATGGATCCATCAGTCTCAACACCTACACATAGTCAGATTCACCCGGGTCTTACCTCTGAAACGACCCTTTGTGATTCAAATGTTGGGCCACAACAGCAGCACATGGGCAATTTAAGAATGCAAATGTTGATGAGCAGTGGCAGCTGCTGACACTTTCATGCTCTGCAGTGGTACCACAGAGACACAGTGGCTCCCTAAGAATAATTTTCAAGCCATCTCCAGCGTGAGGTTGTAGGTGAATGCATGTGCCTTAGCAATACTGCTCTGATATATCTGGAAACTTAAGACCATCAGCTATCTCCCAGAAACTGTGGCTGCCCATAGTCTAACAGTGATGAAGATTTGGGATCTTCCCAAGGGCAGGCATGAGGGCTCTGTGTCACTGATCTTTTCCTGCTGCACATACCTGCAGTGTACAATACTTGGTCCTGTATCTGGGGTCCTGTTGATATAATCTCTTACAGTTCTGACAAACTGGATCAGGGACTGGGTGGTCTCTGGCACACCATGATCTGGCCATACAGTGTAGTGGAAGTGACGAATGAGCCTCGTTGAGTCAAGCTGCTCTTCCTGTTGGGATTCAAAATGTGGGTCATCAGGACAAAAGAGAAAGGGACACATAGAACAGGTACCTTCAGAGAAAATGCTGTAACTTCCACCAGCAGGGAGTCAGGCATGATGCAACTGTAGTACAGCTAAATAAACCTTCCTAACTTAGCCTTGCAAGTGTTTTAAGCCAATTAATCAGGAAATAAAAAAATGCAAACATACACTGCAGATTTTAAACTCTCGTATTGTCCACTCTGGGAGCACTGATTCTGACAGCATCTCAACAATCAGGTCTCCATAGTACAAGGAATCCTGGTCATGGGGCCAGTATTGATCACACTTTACCTGCAGGGACACAAGGAAAGACAGATTTAGCGGTCAAAACAGCTACAAACAATGCTGCGCTGGCAGAAGCAGATTTCAGACCTCTTGTGCCTGAGGATGAAGGAAGAAAGGCAGCAGCTGAATTCAGAGAGAGATGCCACTCTCTGCCATATCAACAAGCAGGGTCTGGCATGGGAATGGGTTAGCATGGGGGTGGGAAGTGGAAGTTCCCATAATTCATTTGTGATGGGGGGAATGGGAAGCCCTCCACTGATACCTTCTTATAGGGCATATCTTCTGTGCCAACTCTTCTCAAATCTCTGCTGGTATGAGAGCTGTGCCTTCAGTGCCCCTTGCTCACCTCTTGCTGAGACATCGCAGTAGGGTCCCACTTGGAACCAATGAGATGCAGAAGGATACATATCCTATTCTGTGTCAGCTTTCACCCTCTCCTCAGGAAAAAATGGTAAGCTGAGAGGAAGTGACCCTATATGTGCCATTAGAGGATCACTACTTCAAGTTTGTTTAATCTTACAGATCTAGTTGCTGTCTTATGAAGGGACAGGACATGGTCATACCTGGGGAGGTATGCTACACCTGCACTTAGGAAGAGTGTAAGTGCATGAGTGGTCTCTTTGCTAACTACATCAGGGCTTATATATCAGAGATAATTTGGTTTATTTACTGATCAACATATGCTCTCCAGAGCTTATATTTAAAGTAGAAGTTGATCAGACTTGATGTGATAAACAGACACTTTTTTTTGGTGGATGTCCTTCTGCATGATGAAGACAACTGTCAAATGAACAAAGTCCTGGATTAGAGACCAGAATCACTCTGTTCCTAATTCTAGCCTTGCCATGCTGCATGAGGATACACAGTCTGTGTATCCTCACTTCACAGCCTTAATCTGTCTCCAGTCTTTATATTATACCTTTTCCTTCATGCTGTGTATCTCCATGACTGGGCTCTTTTTGGCTTTAGTGTGATGAAAGTAAGAAGCAAGTAAGTTTTAACAGATGTTAAAATAGACATATGACAGACATTAAAACAGACAGAGTCACGACTTACCCGGCCCTTCTCAACACACTGGGTTACCATGACAATATTGTGAACGTTTTGCTCCCATGCCATCTTCCAGAACTCATCTTTGGTTCCAGGTAAAGGGCCCTGAGTTGCTATGTATTCCCTGCGGAAATTATTGCCCTGCAAATAGAAAAACTCTATTAGTTTCCAAAAAGTCAGAAAAAAAATCTTCGAACAACTGAAAAAGCCTTGGGGTTGCAGACAGGGCACTGCAGCAACCCTTGCTGGGACAATAGTTTTGAAAAGTAAATTGTTACCTTAGACCTGAAAGCAAATTACTGATTGGAAGAGAGAGAAGGAAGAGACTGTGGCAGTTTACCTAAATATGGTTCCTTTTGTGACAGTCAAAGCTTTCCATTGTTCTTTTATGTTCAGCATACTCTCAAGCAATTTTAAAACTGCTAGGGGTTTTAGTTTTATTTATCATTTTTAATAAACTAGCTGAGTTCTGGCTTGAAATCTGTATTGCTAAGCCACTGCTATTATCAATCATAACTCTTTGGCAAAAGGGCATTATTTTAATTTCAGCCAGTTTTATCACCCTGCAAGGTGCCAATGCTGTCAGGATGAGCTACAGCTCCACAGTGAGGATGCCACCTGCAGGGATAGCTACAGTTGTTGTGGGCACTGTATAAAATCAGCAACCTTTAAAAATATGTCCTTGGCCGATTAGACTTGCTATCGTACATAACTACAGCAATGCAAGAAAGTGTCCTTAAGTGCTGGGTAAATCACTCACAGTTAACTTAATGGTAGTCAGACAGAGTCTTTCAGCACACCCACAAAATGAGTTCTTAGGTTTTTAGCTCAAGTGAATCAAGGAAGGGGGAGGGGAGCCTTGACCACCCAGCTTTATATTCAGTTTTAGATGAAGGAAAAATTACCACTGGAAGGAGGACTGTAAAACACCACCCTTGAGTCACTTACTGGTATGTAGCTTGCATTAATGTAGTCTGAGCAAGGGTCATCATCCACATTGGAAAGCTTCACTCTTGATGTATCATCTAGCAAGAAATTGATTACAAGAGGCTTAGGGCTAGGTCTTTATTTTCAGTCCCTCTCTGCACTTACAGAAATGTGTTTGTGAAAGGGCTGCCAGCACTATTACAAGATTTTATATGAAGAGTTAATTTATAAGGAGTAACTGGTGGTTTTACTGCCTCTTTAATCTGTGAGTCCTATGGAGTGTTCCAGAGTCTAGGAGACAGATGGGTAAGAAGGATGCAGTAAATATACTGAATTTCCTCTGCTGAGCTGCGTAGGATTTGTTATGACAATAAAAGGGCCAAAACAGCATCCTCCTTTGATCCTAGCAGCAGTATGCTGTACTGGAAAGCAGAGCCCATCTCTGCCCTTGAAAGAACAGTTGCACTTCAGTGATCTTATGAACTAATGCTGAGCAGGCCAAACATCTTCTGTAGGTGAAGGGCCCGCTGTACAGAAACACAGAGTGCCTGAGCTGCCAGGCCAGTGATTTGTGAGACAATGCCATGTTGGATCTCAGTCAGGTGTCATTGCTGGCATGAGCAGCCAGGACACAGGAGAGGCTGGGCTGCCAGCACATGCCACATCCATTAGTGGGGATGTGGAGCAGTGAGTTATGTGGTATTCCTTATCAATGTTCTCCCTCCAAAATGACAGGGAGGAGCTTAAAGGGGGAATCTCTCAATGACAGACAGGTCTTGCCTGAGAAGAACAGGGTTAACTTGACACATATGTCTTACCATGCAGAATCACACTAGCTCAACACTGTATAGTAGGTTTGATGTGTACTCTGAAGAACAAAGATTTGGCAAGGCTGTCAAAAAGCACTGAATGGATGATACCCTGTATGTAAAAAACTCTACTGTTATTTCTACTATCCTTGTTATCAGCAGTGACTGAATGCCCCTAATAGCTGGAGCTTTTTCTCCCTGGACTGAATGCTAGTCATTACACCTCTAGTGTGAAATTAAATTATTGGTCTGTGTGAAGCTATTCAGGGCCATGCATCATCTGCCTCCTAGCACAAGAACCTGAGCTGGCAGAGATATTTCATCTCGGACAGAAAGGAGGGAAAGGATTGGCTGCACTCTTTTCCACTAGGCTTGATGAAAGCAAAGTGAAAAATAGCTGGTGTGATGCAATATTACACAACCAAAGCTAAAACTCACAGGGCAATATATTATTGTATCGATTTTTCCCTCTGTTCTCTGGCAGAAGTGCTATGTCACATGTCTGGTTTCGACCCACATCTTTCAAGTCCTGCAAAAAAGGAATAGGAATAAAATGTGAGGTTAAAATAATTAAAGGACAAGACAACGCAAAGGGAATTAGTGCTCATCAGCTCACAAAGGCCATGGACAGAAAACAGGTACTTCTTTATAAAAAATCAAACTGAAATTACATAAGTAATCATACTGTTTTAAAGCAAGTGCATGGCTGTCAAGTACCTTCCATACTTTATCACACAGATGTGCCATACAAACAAATGCTCCTAATCTCAACCAGACAAGTATCAGGCAGAGGCTGCCAAACAGAAGATGCCAAATGAAGAGTTGGTTTCTAAACATAGACAAGTGGAGTTCAAATTATATGCTCCACCTTTTTGGATTTGTGAGAATAAAACAAACAAATGCAGACCTTTCTAATACATTAACCAGTTGACTCAGTCAGCCCACCCCTTCACAAGGCAAGTCCTTTGCCTAGGTTAGGATCCCACCTCATACTCCTTGGACAGAAGGTAGTTGGAGTCTGCTTGAAGTTTGGTGAAGTGTGCTTCAAAGTGGCTGACTTTGATCGGACTGAAATATTCAACAGGAGGAAGAAAATCACAGGATGAATCATGGTCATAATTTATCCAGTTGGTTACTAAGAAGTTTTTTTTAGGTATTAATTTTTTCTTTTTACCTGGAAGTTTTCCGGTACCTGGAAATTATTTCAAAAGAAAAAGAAACATTTCATCAGTAAGTGATCAGATGGGTCTGTTCAACCATAATGCTATGTTAAAAACCCAAACTTTTTACATTACCCTTTCTGCCCCAAGTTCAAATGGACTGACAGTGGCCTGTCTCTGCGAATGTTCAGCCTTGCTGTAGGTCTCTCATGGCCATTGCTGGAACAGAAAGGTAGGTATTCTGTTATATCATTAAGTTTTGAAAATGGTAAGAGTTGGCACTAAGCTATACTTTCTTAAATTTCTTTTTTTCCAGTTTACTGTTTTTTAGTGGGTTTTGATTTTTGGCTCTGATCCTGTGACATTTGTCTTAGCTGAGTCTCACAGTTTTGCTGTATTTTAGCTTGGCAATAGTGATGTGGAGTTCATGCATGGCACAGGTAGTAAGACATTTTTCTTGTTCTGAAACACACGCAGCCCAATCCATCACTAAGGAGGGTGCCCTGTGCTAAGATGGACCCTAAATCCATTGATTTTCTACATGCAGAGGAACACAGAGACAGATTTTCAGAGCTGTAAAACGTCTACAGCTTCCAGCACATTCACTCTGCAGACCAGGCCTGCAGCAGATGACCACATTCATGGCAGGAATAAGTGGCATAACCACAGCAGGCTTTGGGAACCCACAGAAGTGGTACTTATTCCACACAGCTAGTGTTGCCTTTCATCTTTTTACTGCCATCTCCTCCTTAAAGACATCTCCCTTAGAGAACACTTTGTCTTTATGTCTGATGTGGGAAAACCATACCAGTATTACTGCCATCCTTCTGGCTGTATAACTTACAAGAAACCATATTCTATAATGAAGTTTATCCATTTTGGCTAAAAGCTATGACTAGTCAGAAAATAGGTTTTTTTTCAATCTGAAATTCTGGCATATGAAAAGCAAATTCAAAAACATATCAACTCAATTTTGTATCAGTAAAAGAACTGAATTTTAGACTTGCAGTGTTTCTCATGCACTGGAAATGTTGAGGTTTTTTTTCTAATTTCAGAAACTACAAAGAATTTCACATCTCTCAGTCATGCAATATAGTTTAAGTGGATAAAGATCTTCTCAGTTGACATATACTATTTAATTTTTAAAAAGATGCAAGTTCACTATTTAAGATTCATCTGTAATGTGAAATATACAACTGTAACTGACAAAAAATCAGAAGCAAAGTTTGAGCTAATCTTTTGGACAGTGAGATAATGCTACATCTCAGTATTTTTGAATTGAAATGATAAAGTCTAAATGAATGGCTTCCCATATACAATGCAGATACAATTAATCTGAAACGCTTCATTTTTTGACAAAAGACATTTTTTTCTCAGAAGATAAAAGTTTGAATGATAAACCATTTGTTATTCAGAACTATTCAGATTTCTACTGCAAACTAAAAGTTACAAGCATCCTCTATGTCATAATTCTGACCCCATTTGAATTAAGTATATATAGATTTCTTAATATGTAAGTCATTAGTTTTACACTTAGTGTGTACAATATTTGGGGAGACACAGATTTTATCTGTTGAACAATTCAGTGCATCCATCCAATTTTTAGCTATGCCTAATCAATTTTATTACTTAAATGAATATATAATTTGACATGCCTTCAATAACAGAGACTGACAAAGGGAGTCAGCTTACCCAACTTTTTGTCTGCAGACAAATAAAGCAGTAACAGCCACCAACATCACGATCAGAAACAAGCCAGCACTCACACCTTCAATAACTCCAAAGAGAGGCTCTAAAAACAAAACAGTGTATTTATATATCTTGAGAAAAGGATCAAAAGACTCAGAGAACCAATAACTTTCAGGGATTCTGTTATTATCAGCTGAAGAAAATGGCAAAATACAAGCAAATGTAAGGCATTAAAACACTTAGCTAAAACCTGGCCTTGATCTTCTGTCCTCATTTTTTCAAACCATTAAAATTAAAATTTTTCATTCCCAACCACAGTAAAAAAAAGTAAAAACTCCATCATATGGGAGTGGTTCTCTTGCTGTTAGAAGCTTTCTTGGTGATAGCCTCACTGAGCATTTTTCCTGTTCTCTACTTTCAGCAGCTCTGTCAAACAGTCCTCCGAATTTTCCAGTAAAGGTAGATAAGCCAAGTCAGCTTCCTCTCAGAGCAGCCCTCAGGAAATGCACAACAAGTTTTGTTCCACTCCTTACAAATAGCTCTAGATGCCAGAATATTCTTAGGCACAATATATAATCACATGGCACAGTCACTGACAACAGCCTGCAACTAACCTGCCTCTGTAGTGATCGGTAAGGAGAAGAAGGTGTCTGCAAAGAGCGGTTTAGGGAGTTCCTTTGGGTCTTCACTGAAAAGCTGAGTAAAAGCTCGTATGCTGATTCTAAAAAATACAGTAAAAAAAAATGGCTCTTCAGATGTTCAGAACCAACAGCAGAAAAGTAAAAACTCATTTGCCCCTTTGAGACAACAAAAACCTTTCTACTGACCACAGATAATTCTTAATATAGACACCTCAGTTAATCAATCTTCTACTTCATTAATAATACCGATCCCTGAGTTAGACACCGGGGAGCCCAGCTAGTGCAGGTGGAGGGCTCTGAGGTACCCTGGCAGAGGTAACAGATGCGGCTGCGGCTGCTGGCACACACAGCCTGACCGTGTCTAAAGGCAGGACTAGCAGAAGCTGCACAGGAGAGAAGACTCAGAAATGCTTCTCAGAGGGGACACATTTTCTCTTCATTTGGCAGGGCACGACTGTGATAATGGATAAATGTTATCACCCTCTTTGTTCTCCTGGTAACGCGAGTATTTCCCAGACTGTTGTTTTGGGAAATGTGCCCTAATGAGAGCAGTAGTAGCCTATAGTAGGCTAGCACTGTTTTATTGATGATGAAGAAGCTGAGAGGCACAATGGGCACTCCTTGGCATGTGCCTTCTGTCCATGTGGCTTTTCAGTGAGCAGCTTGCAGATCTCTTGGGACAGTATTTGCCTGTGGGAGGGGGTGTCACTGAACCATACTGGAGCTCATGTTTGGTCTCACAGCCAGTGTAACTGCAGAGGCTGGTCTTGGCAGCCATCCTCTTCTATACCCTACAGATAACCTGGGCCTAGCTGTGGAGCCTGACAATGGTGCTACAGGATAAAATGGCCTCCAGGTTTTTCTAGCTTGTTCCAAAAGAACAAGTGGGGTAGTCCTGCCAGACTGAGTGAAGCATGCTTGTCTTCTGTTAAGTACTCTTCTAACTTAGCCAATCGTCTTCAGTCTTTCCAAAGAAATGTTGAGCAGTGACAGGAGAGCTTCCCATCTAGTTGAGGTAAATAAATAAACCTATTCACTGCACAGAGTTTTGTTCATAATTAAGCGTATCATTCCCATGTTAGTGAATGACTGGTTCTTACCTATGGAACAGGGGGTATGGATAAAGCTTTTATAAATTTGCAGTGAAACACAAAGAACATTATACAATGCAGTTACTAATCTATTGAAGCTCAAGTGGATCAGGCACCCAGATGACACCAAGCCTAACAATGCGACAGAGCACAACTACCAGTATAAGTCTAACCTATATGCAGTTCGAGGCTTTAGAGGTCCATCGCAGAATTTCTGGTGATCTGGATCACACTTTCCTCCCAGATTTTCCATTTCTCCTCCAAGCTTAATGTCAAAGCTTTTATAGTCACTGTCAGGGTTTTCAGCACAGCTACTGGCAAAATAATTTGTCTGGTAGATGCGTATAGAGTCATTGTGTTTGTACTCCAGGTAGGAAGGTAATGGGTGCTGCTCCTCAGGCTTTGGTCCTTCACTACCTATGTCATGTGCAGAGAAAGACAGACGGTTTAGATGCCACAGCCACTAATGTGATGAGATTTACAGGCTCAGGCTCTTGACAGACATGTTCTTATCCAATTTTCTATTTCCTGGAGGCTACCTCATGAATACAAAGCTACAATGGTTAGGGTACCTTGTTTCTCGTACCAACCTTTCCATTATTTTTTAGACAGATTTCCTCACAAGTCCTCAGTGCAGCTTCTGCTGCAACAGGCATGCACTCATCAAATGTGATGACATTTTTTCCTGTGCTATTGGTGGGAGTTTTTGTGATCCAGATTCCTGGATCCTACTACTAGCTATATCAAAAAGCAAGTAAAAAAACCCCATAAACTGACAATTCTACTGTATATAGAGAAAAACTACAGTAGGAAATTACAGGGGCCCCCAAATGTAAATTCACAATATTGGAAGAGACTCAGCTAGGAAAAGCTATGGCAACGAGTAGTGTCTTTCTTAAAGAGCTTTATAGTTTGCCCAAACATGACAAAGCAGATAGTGGAAATATTCTCTGGTTTTTTTTCTAAGAGCTGATGGACAGAGAGATTAAGAAACTTTCATAAGGGTCACAAAATATATCCTGGTATGCCAGTGAATGAAGCCACTTCTAAAAACAAGTTATAAATTCTTGAGACATGTATCTTATTTGCCAGACACATGTCTCAACAACAGGTCAGCTGCGGAAAGTGAGCATGTCCATGCATGTCACAAGAACTATTTCTGTTCTGTTTTATAGTACTGCATGCAAAGTCATTTTCTTCAGTTAGCAAACATCACCTGGCAGACCTGTGGCTTCTCAGCATGGCTAACTGAAACTTTCCAAAGTGGTTGCCTTTTAGTGTTTGCACCTAACATTTAAACTACCTTTTGAAATCTGTACACAGCGAGGCACAGGTCTCTGTTCACTGGCACTGGCAATCGACATAAGCCTTCAACTACAAAAACTGTCTGAACATACATGACAGTGTAATCTGGAGTACTGCTTCTGTCTGAGCTCTGTAGTTACTACAGACTCAATGAGAACAGGACTCCCTACATCCTCCAGCTAGGGAGGAAGTAGGAATCCAAAACCTGTGCGACACTCAGCCATTAGATGAGGAGGAACTCTTTGCTGTGCAGTGATAGGGATGTACTTCCCCATGTAAATTTTACTGGCTACATAGAGAGAATAGCATTAAATCATGACACTTACCATCAGCCTCCCTCACAACCACAGTAAAGTACTTCACAGCTCCATTAGTATCACTAAACCAGCTGCAGTTAAAAGTAAAGTTGATGGAGGATTTGGTAATCAGCACCTCTTTTTTGTTCACTCGTACATCTGGAGGTGGCTGAGGAGGACCTGAGTAATTAAGCAAATAGAAAATAAATACAAAATAAAGAAAAAGCACCTATGTATTTGCTGTGAGCTAGACCTAATAAGGAAAATGCAATTTGTAATAAATCTCAGTTGCCTGGACCCAAGTCTCTGATTCCATTCTCTTTGCAATCAAAAAAGTGTCTTCACCTCCCACAGTGAAACTGCCAGAACATGAACCAAGCCAGCAGTGTGTTCACCATAATAAGAGTGACACCTCCTCAGTATGAATTCCTGCAGAAGCCCACATGGAAATGCATTAAAGTCATGTCAAGCCTATGAAAACAGAAATGTAGCTGCTGAAAACAACACAGGTTTAAGCCAAAGTATGCGGAGGCCACTTAACATACTCACTACAGAAGTTACCTATCTTAAGCATCTATATATCTGCTTTCTTTTCCAGAGGAACAGCCAGGGTTAGCAGACACAGCACTCAACTACAGAGTACCATTTTCTAGACTGACTGCAAAATTTCCATAGGAAACATTCTTTGTATGATACAAAACCATACCTTGAACAGTGACACAGTAGAAGTAAACTGGAAAGTGAAGTACACAGGTAAGAAAGTGCAGCAAAAGTGGGGATTTTAAGGATCTACATTGCAGATTCTTTTAAAAATCTGTAGTACTGAAACTATATTGCACATACAGGAAACATAAAAACCGTAAGCAGGTGGCTAAATTTCAAAAGTTTTTAGAATGCCAAAAGAACCAAAAATTCATACATTTATATGATTTTTAGCTTGACCTCTTACATCTGCAAAGTCTAGCTGCAATTTTTTGTGTTCCATTGAGGTAGGGCCTCCAGTGTTAAACAGGGAGAGCAGCAGTGTCCAAAACAAGTAAGTGAAAATAAACAAACATTAACATAAACCAAATAAGAATAAACATGATCAGCAAACAGTCTCACTTCTTGTGACATGAATAACTAGGTCTTACATCTGGATTTGTAGTGTCCTTTGTGATAGACGAAAGAGATTAAAAGGCAACTGATGGGCAAAGGAGAAGGTAGTTTGGTGAGTGAACTCTAGCTTAGCTCAATAGCTCCCAAAGCAAACATAATTTTTATGATCTAGCATTTCACACAAACATGGCTTTTAATAAGCAGCTACAGAGGCATCCCTGAATATAGGATTCCTGGCCATCCTCTAATTTTTCAGTTTAGCCCTGGAACAGTGCAGGCCTCTGTATTGTGCAGTGCCACTGAATCCTGAGGTAGTGCAAAATCTGGGGCACCTCTAGGGTCAGCAATGGCAGGCTATTGACTGCAGTGATGCCTGGCAGTGCAGAGGTACCAGCAGATGCTACTGATACACTCCAGTCAGCAGCCTATGGGTAGAGAAACTGAAGAATTTGTTTCAAAGCACATGCTATAGAAATCTGGATCCTCCCTCAGGTAAAAGTCCTACAGGTGATTTGGTCAGGTAGCACCTCAGAAGAGTCTATAGACACTAAAAGAGAATGCAGTACTATAATCCAATATCCTTATTGATGGATATTTGTGCTGAGGATGGCTACCACCAATGAGGGGAAACAGCCAGATACAGAAAGCCAAGCAGTGAGCATGAAGACAACTGAGGAAGACAAGGCATGTGATGATGAGGACAAAGTATTTATGTTTCTCAGGCTATATTTCATGAATGAGCCAAATAATGGGGTCTGGCAATGTAATGAGAGGCAATGTAGTTAAAATCCTGCATTGTCTGTCACAACGGGGACAAAAGGATGACTTCAAAGTTGACTTTGGCCACCACTCCATACATTGGCAATTGTGGAGTTCAGAACTCCTTTTACTGTCTAAGCAACATGAGCAATTGCTTATTGCTGCTCAATGCCTGTCTTCAGGGCAACTCTGAATTCCACTTACGGTCAATCATCGTGATGGTGCTGTCTTCAACTACTTCACTTGTCATGTCTGCAGAATGCACCTTGATGGACACCAGATATCGCTTGTGGGGAACAAGGGTCATAATATTAAGTAGAGATTTGTCTTTTTCTATCCTTTTAGAAAATTCAACTTCACGGGTGTCCATCTTCTTGCACTCAACGCTATACCCATCAAAGTCAGAATCGGGAGGAGTCCAGGAACACGCAATGGCAGTAGAGGTCTGGGGCCGACAGTGAAGGCTTTGTATCTTGTCTGGCTCTAGAGAAATGTTGAGAAGTTGAAACTCAGTGGGAAAAGGGACAGGTATCATACACTCTCTGCTCCCACTACAGCTCCTAGATTCTACATCAACCATCAGATTAGAGTGGAGGCTGGGAGTCAGAATTCCCAGTTATCCTGCAAATGTGTACTGCCTGATTATTATGTAAGGCTGTCTAACTCATTTTAGCCATCTGAAATCAGATCTAGTGACATCCGCCCCATCAGCATTGTGAAGCTCCAGTAATTAATTGTGAAAAGAAGGAAAAAACTCCTAATTGATGAAGTCTTAACATGAACAGCAATACCACAAAGAAACGGAATTCTAGAAAGTTGTTACAACTTATTTGAGGGCTCCATGTGGTCACTTACATCAGTCAATACTGATACTGTCATCTCATGATTGGTTTCCTGGGCAGCATGTGATGTGTCTATATTACTAAAACATAGCATAGAAATATGCTTCTTCCATGTAATATGGGAGCACCCTTTATATCATACAACATGTAACAAAGACAGGATTTCACTCTCAGATGGCAGGCATCTATGGTTAAGTGATTAAATACAGGTGAAATTTTAATTATTATGATCTATTAAAGAGTACATAGCTTACTAAACATAGATGTCAATTTAGAGCTGAATCCCATCCCAAATGACATGAGGATTTGGCACAACTCAGTTATTTTAACAATTTCATGTCACTTTTTTCAATTCAGCCTGTTACTGAAGTTTCTAGAGACAGCTAGAGATGAAACAGATCCACAGATAAGGGCAGAAATGCAGAGCAGTGAAACACTGATTCCAGTTCCAAATCTAGTACAGCACAGTTTCTTTCATCCTTCCTGTCTTATTATTCAGAAACATGATTATTTCAATATACTACCATCAGAGAAGTTTGGATATTCAGCCTTATCTTACCCCTTAAACTGATTGATTCAGGCTCTGCAACCAAACAGCTTGACTCTGGATGTGAAGATTAAAAATGTATGTCCATTATCAGTCTTTAAACAGCTGACCTTGCACACAGCAAGGGCTTAGAATCTAGCTGAATTCATCATTGTCATTCACAAATTTATTAATGGAAATTACTATGCATTCCTGATTGCATAAGGAATTAGTAATATTTTACAGATTTGCATCTTCTTCAGCTGAGTGCTAGCGTGCAATGGAAATTTTTACTTACTTGTTCTCACACTTGCAGATTGTGACTGACTGTATGTCTTCCAGCTGTCGCCACTGACAGTTCTGACACTGAACTCATAAAGTCTCCCAGGTCGCAGGCCATAGATGATGCGTACTTTAGATCTGCTGCTGCTGTAGGGATTGAATACTGTGAGGGGATCCTTTGGAAGCCACTGCACCTCAAAATCATCATAGTCTGTCCAGTCTGGAGGACCCAGCCAAGTGATTGATAAAGAAGTGTTTGCAACATCAGTAAACGACACAGTGTTAGGAGGGCTGGGTGCTATGCAGAAAGGGGGGAAAAAAAGGAGAGAAAAAAAAAGATTCTTACCAAATTTTTAAAGAAGACAAATAAAATGAAACATGGATTATTTTCTTCATGCATCACAAAGTAGTTTGTATTATCTTGCATACACAGCCAGTTAAAGCACCTTTGCTGATGATGGTGACTTTCACAGTTGTAACATATTCCTGAGCCTTTGAAAGAAAAACAGTGCTAACTGCTTTTCTTTCATATTCCATTGTTTTAATGCACTTAAGGTTATCCTTCATCTTTATACCTTCAATGACTCTTATAATAAATCCTCCCTTAGAACAAGTCTGTTACATAGCTGTGAACTAATGAATTCAAACAGATGGGACAAAAAATCCCATACCTGTTCTTCCTTCAGCATTTGCTGTGTTGGTCAGGTCACCACTGTGAGTCACAACAACTAAAGTATACTTTCTGCCAGGAATGAGCCCCTGGAAATGCCACTCTTCCAGGTGTTTCCTTTGCTCAGTTTCTTTCTGTGTCCCATTTGGGTTGTAAAGATTCAGCTCATAGAAGTCAACATCTCCTGCTGCTGGACCCCAAGTGAACCACAGACTGTCCGTCATGTTTCGGTTGGATGCCTTGAGACCAACAACTGGGGCTGGTACTGAAAAAAGAAGGAATGAATATTACTTTATGTAGAACATCCTTTGGGTGAGAAGAAGCAAAAAGGTCAAGCAGACCTTGTACTTGTCCTGTAATGATAGTAATTTTATAAACTAGACAGGCACCACAGCTGGCTGAAAAGCAGAAAGCATATCTCAGTAGCTTCCTTTATTATTCTGAACTGCCACTGTTACCAAAAGAGGTTGCAATGTTTATAATGGATAGTTTTGCAAATGTTAAGCAGCTTTTTTCTAGTCAGTTTTTGGAAATCCATTTCTGAGGTAGCTGAAAAAGTGCACCACTGTGCAGATGTAATCCCACAGATGGGATCCTATATGGTGCCGCAGGGGAATAAAGTTTTCACAGAATGTCAGAACTGCTAGAACTGCTTAGAAAACTCTGCTTCCCACATGTGGCTGAACAAACACAGAGCTGCAGCCATAGCTTCCCATGGGAATCAAGTTTTATTTCACTGGTAGACTGCCTATCCCATTAACCCTACTTGCTTTGCCTTTCTGCTTTTTCCACTCAGGCCAATATTGCTTTTAGGACAGGAGACAGCCATTTTTCTGCTTAAGGAGTATACACTGGGATGTCTTTCTTCTGACATGAGCTCCTGGGAACTGTTTTGGGGTTCTTCACTTTATGTTTCCTGCTGTAACTGCATCATTGAGAATTTATCTTTTTATATATCTAATGCTTTTTACATATTAAGAGCTGATTCTGATACTTCTAGTAGTTGCTCTAATCTAGTATGAGCATCAGACTCAGACCAGCCCACTGGTGTCCCCCATGAGTACCGCACTGGAGACAGATGGTTTTCTTAGATGTTCTTGCCTGTTCTTCCATAGACAGATGACTCGTTAGTGAGGTCTCCACTGTGTGTAACAATCACCATTCGATACATCCTGCCTTGACGCAGGTTCTGGAATGAACACTGTTGGAGATGCTGCCCTCCTGAAATCCTATCATGTAGGGACTTGTCTGGATTGTATAGGAAGATGTCATACGAATCAAGCTCCCCTTGAGAGGTGGTCCAGCTGAAGGACAGTCGGTCAGTGGTGTTCTCTGTGACTTTCAGATTTGTAACAGCTGCCGGAACTGAAAAGGAGGATAAATGTAAGAGTAAATATCAGAGTCTAGGCACTAAGCTGAACCTTTAATAAACTCATAGCTGTTACGAATTTCAATTAAGCCACAAGTAGCTAAGTAATATCAATAGCAACTGTCAGAAACAGAGGAAAGCATTTATGAAATGACACTGAGTCTCTCCAATACAATATTTTAATGAATGCCTGATCCTTTAAACTGTGCTCACATAGAGCTGTCCTCTAGCTTCTACATGAAACTATAAATCAGTAAAGACTGCAAGCAAGACTTGTCCTTGAGTTTAGAAGTGTGTATTCACATCAAATCCTCCACCAAGAACCTTGAGACTGTGAATTAAAAACTTGATGACAATAAAGAATTCAGATATTTCCACAAAAGACAGAGGGAAGCATTCAGCATTTTGGTTTAATTTCCTTATTATGAACCATGGTCACATTATTATGATAATAAATTTCAGATTCACATGCAAAGCACGCATCAGGAAAAATGATGCATAAACATCCAGAGTCTGTTTTTTTTGAATTTTTGTAGAATCAAAATATACAGATGGTTCATGTATTTAATGATATCTGACTGAGGGAAGTATAAGTAAGCCAAGATGTTCTAATTACCTGTTCGGCCAACAGTTTCTGCACGCTTACTGAAGAGTCCACCACTGACTGTCAAAACTTGTATTTTATACTTCTTGCCAGCTAGTAAATCTTCAAATTTGTGCTGTTTGGCAGTAGCTGGCTCTGATTTGTTACTCAGGAGGATTCCTTGCTCATTCAAGAGCAGAATGTCATATCTTTCGGCTACACCAGGAGCTTTCTGCCAGGTTACTAACAAGGAATGACTGCTGTAAGCATGATGGGCTGATAATTCCTGGACAGAGGCTGGAACTGGAAGCAACAATTAAAAGCAGGATATTACCAGGTGAAACACAGATCATTCAATACACAAATCTGAATAAAGTAATTAACAGAACAGAACTCTATATATTTTCAGGTTCACTTGTGGGAAAATAAATGTCTGTACATATGTTTATGCAAACAACTAATTCCTGGACATAAATACAAACAGATGAAGTTATAGAGCATCATGGATATCTGAACTGGGAATGGAGAAGCAACATATATATATATATGGACTACTATGAAAAGATGGAGAAGCAGAGTGAACTGAACTAACTGAAACAGTTAAGAAAGGAATATGAAAAATAAAGGAGGGGTAAACTGATGCAAAACAGTAGCCCAGAATAGAAAATGTTAGCCAGCTGCTGCTGCACAAAAGTCAAGGCCACAGATAACAAATGCAGGTGCTAAAGAGAGAGGATACATTAAAAACAAGGCATTGCATTGTTTCATTCTGACACCCTGGATACTGGGGCTCTGCTAGAACACAATACTTGCCTACATGGAGTGAATGTATGTGTCAGATGGGTACAGGCATAGGAAATGAGAGGGATGGGAACTGCATTCATCCTATGAAGGAAGACACTGGGCTGGACTAGAATTCCATGCACATTCACCCAGGTAAAGCTACTGAAATGACACATCTCACTGGTATTAACAGACCCATGCTGACATCATGACATGTGCTTTGAGATAAAAACTTCCCATGAGTGTGAATTTCCCCATGCCCTACGGTACATCCATAAACAATATGGTACATTATTAAGCAATATTAAACAAGGGTCAGTCTCTGGAAAGATATAATGCAACTTTCTTGTTGTCTCAAGAAAAACATACTTGTTCTCCCAAAAGCTGCTAAGCTGTTGTGCAAGGTGCCACTGTTAGATTGCACCACCACCTGGTACTGCTCCCCAGCTTCCAACTTGTGAAACATGTGCTCAGAGATGTGTTTGGAGACACTCTGAGAATCAAGCTGATGGTTTTGTTGAAATATAGTCACTGTGTAGGAATCAACATCTCCACCTCCAGGGGTCCAGCTCACTTTCAGACTGTTTGTCATGCCATTAGGTGACACATGAATGTTTCGGACCTTGCTTGGAACTGGAAAAAAAACAGGGAACAAAAAGACATCTGCTCACAAATTTCCTGTTCGACTCAGGCTTCCTAATTTCTACCTATTTTATGGCCACAGAAAAATTATTCAAAAGAGAAAGATCACTTACAGGTACAAGTAATGTCATTTGTGGGTAAATACAAGTAAAGTAAACATTTGTGTGGGATTATTAGAAACAGACTTCTATGTATAACCTCCCTCTTGTCCACATGATGCCTTAAAAACACCTCAAAATATGAAAGCTTTTTAGGTACCCTCAGTCAGTTAGCCATTTTTCCATTAATATCTCAATCATTCACTTCAGGTAGGTAAACAGAGGTGTAAAAAAGGTACGTGATTTAACTAGAGACACTAACCAAACAACTGGCATGCATGGGAATAGCAGAAACCTAAATGCTGACATCTCAATACAGTTCCCATGCAACAAACCAGATTTTCTGCCAACAATCAAGTACTAGTAAATGTTTTTATTAAGCATGGGTGTTGGCTAAGTACTAGTGTGATTTTCAATGAAATCTGCTGTCTCTGAGCCACTGTTACATAAGCCTTGAATATAATAACAGCTCACACTTGATTTTCAGTGGTTCATTCTAGAAAAGCCTAAACACATTTTAAATACCACATTATATCTTACTTGTCAGGCCTTCTATGAAAGTAGCCCGCTGTGCATCTCCACTGATGGTCAAAACAAGAATTTTGTACAGACGTCCTGGAGTCAGAGCTGTGAACCAATATTCCTCTATGGTGTTCCCAAGGAAAATGGGTGGGAAGATCTTCATATCGTTGAAGAGGAGCTGAATTTCATACTTGTCAACATCCCCCTCAGCTTTTGACCAAGTTACCTGCAGATCTTCTGTGCTCCTGTTACCAAGAGTCAGTTCCTTTACTGACTCTGGCACTGAAGAAGTGACAAGAAAGATGGGAAACTTCTCAGTACTTACTAACAGATCACAGCAAAAAGCTAGCAGCTCTTAAGTCATGCTTCTGAGCTACAATTTTTCATTCGGTTCCCCTGACAAAGCAGTAGATAGCATTTATTTGGGTAGTTTACACCTGAATCTAACACTGGAAGGTCCTATTTCAGAACAGATGTTCACAATTTATAAGCATAAAAATAACAAAATAATAATGGAGCCCGCAGGGAGTTTATCTAGCCAACAAAAACTGAGTAAGATCTGCATGTACAACAAAGAGAGAGAAAAGAGGCCTGAGCTAGTGTCAAATCAAGGCAATCCAGCTGCATGATGCAGCACCACAATGCAGTTTCCAACTTGTGCCAGACACAGGTGAGTTATTTTTGCCCCATGCTACATCTTTGTTAATAAACTGCTGAGTTTCTCAGCATGAGTCCTTAACTCACATACGGTGCTAGGTGAAAATTGCACCCAGATCCCTGCTGGCTCCCAACTAGCCACCTTATCACTCTTGCCCCATGCTCTCCAATTCCAGTGCATGGGGTAGTTTGAAGAGAGGGAGGTCTAGCCTATCTTCTGTCCTATATATTTCCATGACCAGAAAAAAACTAAATTCAGTACATTCTGGCATAATTTAATGATAAATACTAAACTCTTGTGGAAAACTGCACAACTGTTTCTTTGGCTTTCAGTGTTTCAAGATCTGCTTTCCAATTTAATAGCACAGGTCTCTCACTTTTTGCTTGTTTGTAACTTAAACATTGGTCTTAAACTAAATACTGTTTTCTGTATTTTAAATAATACACATTCAAAGAGTCAGAGTCAACATTCTACATTAAAAATCATATGAGATTTTTGTTCCTGGGTATGATAATTAAAAAAAATACCCTGAGTTGTCTTAGAATGTTTCCAGGGTGCTTACTTACTTGTTCTGCCATAGACTCTTTCACTAGTTTCGTATTTCCCACTTCTTGTGCTGACCGTGACACTGTACTGCCTCCCAGGGACCAGACTGGTGAACACACATTCATTTTCATCCTTTGGGACACTTTTTGTTTGGATGAAATCATTATTGTTACTGATGATCACTTCATAATTATCAAAATATCCAGATGCATGTAACCAGGACACCTTCAAGTAGTCACTTCTGGCTGAATTGCTGACAGTAAGTCCCTGGACACTTGAAGGGACTGAAAGAAGAAAAGATGCAGAAACTTTCTGAAGTAACCAGAGTTGTGGCAGAGAGCTGTATTTATGGTAGTTATCAGAGTTTCGTGAGGAAGTTGCAAAAAGACAACAGTGTGGATTTAAGTAATAAAGTAATATCTGCAGTTTCCAGGCTGCTTTACGTCTTATGACAATACAATGGTTTGCCTTTCTAATTTTTGGTCTTATGGAACTTGCTCCGTAAGAGTAGTGAGTGCCACAGACAAACACTGATCCAAAATTGGTTCTTTCATGGCTGTTCCTTGGATTTTCACCTAGATAATGAAAAGACTAAACCCGCACTAACTTGATACACTTTGTTACTTTTTTAACACCCCTAACAAACTTTCTTTTGTTCTACTGGTTTACCAAGTGTAAAGTCTCAGTTTTTTCCATTTTTGAGAAAGTTTTAAAAGGTTCTCCTCATTTTTGCCATCTTTATCTGAGATCTCTCTATTCCTCTTATAATATCCCTGAAAACTGCATGACCAAAACCACAGACGTGTGTGTTACATTACCAAAACCAACTGACATGGGTGTTACTCATTATTGTGACACCTCACTAATATTTTACTAATTAGCCTATCTGACGTTCCCCCCCACTCAGCCCCCTGAATTATCAGGCTAGCCCAGAGATCCGAGGCTGTGAGGGGAGGAATATCAGGAGATGGCAAAGTTTTCCAAAAGAGGCTCTTACCCCGATATATGTTGGTGCAGCTCTCTTTATTCTGTGATGTCCAAGGGGAGAGCGAGGCAAAAGAGGATGAACAGGAAATGTCAGGGGTTTATCTAGACTTTGGACAGAGTGGGCTTCCCTGGCTCTCTGCAAACCCCGTTGGGGCAGGAAGGAGGGGTCCAGGATTATCTTGATCAGAGTCACAGGAAGGGGCCACAGAGTGCCCATGAGCTCACTGTAACACCTATCCTTTTCTGTTCTTTCAGTGCCTGAGTAACTTTCTGAGGAGATACTCTGCAGGATGTACTTGAAGGGCCACATAGAGGCATTAAGGGCAGGACAATACATTTGAGCCAAAACTGATACATAATTTCTGTTCACTCATAAGGACTGATATGACTTTTATTCATGCTAAAGCATTTTTTGCATGAAATAAAGCAGCAACAAGGGCATAAGAATAAAACTAATAAAGCTGTAATTTTATGATTTGACCCTCCAGCCTCTACTTTCATCCCAGTTTGGTCAGATATTGATAAATCATTGGTAACGGTTATACATTAGCCATTACCAACACAACAATGGTTACAGTGACTGTACTTGCCCAGAGCCTCTCTTTACCTGTTCGTTCCTGGCTGAGGGAGTAGTTTTCATACTTTCCACTCTTTGTGGTTATCATCACATCGTAAAGTGTCCCAGGAGTAAGGCTGCTGAAGGAGCATTCACTGAATGATTTGGAAATGGTGAGAGTCTGAACAATCTTGTCATCATGAGAGAGTGTTACCAAATAATTGTCTACATCTCCAGAAGCTGGCAGCCAAGAAACACTGAGGTAGTCACTCCGACCTGAGTTATTTACTGTTACTCCAGTTACACTGGAAGGAACTGTGCAATAAAGACAAAAAAAGCATTAACTAGCTAATTCTTATTTTGTGAGTATCCCTATAATGCCATTCCCTGCAATAAGCAATCTGGGACTCCTGAGAAATTCTGCATTGACTGCTTCTCAGCAACATTCACCTGCTTTTTTAAATACAGTGAAGGAAATTTTCCTTGGTGGCCTGATCCCAGCACTTCTAAAATCCTAGAAGCTGAGTTATCCTCTCAAATAGCCATTCCCAGTAACAACAATAACTGGTGAGGCTGGTAAGAGACTGAGGCCCACAGATGCATGTTTCAATTCCAGCGGGTTCTCTGACGCCTAGTGGACAAAACATGAATGCCACTTGTTTTTCAAGCCAGCAAGGTGAACTCAAAGGCTCTGCATTGCCAAAACTGTCATCACCCAGGTACAAAACTCAGTTGTTACAGGGGCAGAACTTAGGCATAATGAACTTCCAAGTAAATTTACTTATCTCAACAGAGAGGCTGGCCAACAGCTGTCAGAGTCAAACCTGCCCCCCCCCAACCCCGATTTTACAAAATACACTTATATACTTTAAGCCTTTTAGTATTATTCTTATCCTTTTTTTTTTTTTTTTTTTCCCCAGGCTTGTTTTGCCCTTTCACCTTGAAAATAGTGGTTTTCAAGGAGAACATTGCAGAAAACTGCAGAATGCCTAGCATTTGCCAAATTCACATAATGGGTGAAATTGCACTATATCGCCAAATTTCTCCTTTAAATATCCGCAGAACTAGTATTACATTTCATGATTCTTTAAACCTAAAGAATTTGATGCAACAGTAAATTTTGCTCTATGAAGTACAGAAGGACCTCGTAATAACTACTTAGCCCTGGTGGACGTTCTTTGATGCTGGATTACAGAAAAAGAATGGGTTGTGAGAGACTGAGACACAAATTCACCCCACCACCTTTAGGCAAGTTCTTGGCACACATAAGTAAGGAGCAATCACACTACACCACCACTACATAGCCAATGGAACAAGAAAGACCCTTCCAAGGAGTAATTTGCCCAGACAGTTGTTCATTACTCTCAGGGCAGATTTTTGTCTTCGTTCTAGAGTGATCCTGCTGTAGAGTTCCCACTGTAGTTAGAGCAGTTAGCTCTCTAAAGCTATATTTACACAAATCTGGACAGACAGTGTGCACATATGGAGCTATATGGATGAAGCTCTCATTTTTCTGAATTCTCAGTGCAGTGGCTTAAACACAAGACCATTCTTTCAGATAAATTCAACTACTAAAAAGCATGCTGGAGTGTTTTCCTTTTTACCTGTTCTTTCCTCTGCAATTGTTTGCCTTGAAGATATCCCTCCACTGACAGTGGTGACAACAACTGAATAGAGTCCTCCAGGTTTCAGAGGATAGAAGTGATATCTGTTAGTTTCACTGGGGACAGTTTCATTTTTAATGACAACATTCTCATGAATCAGTAGCACTTGGTACGAGTCTACATCTCCCAGTGCTCTTGTCCAGTTGGTGAACAAGCTGTTGGTTGATCCCTGACTTGACACAGTCAGACCTGTCACTTGGGCTGGCACTGAAAAGGAAATTGTCACACTGTTACTGAGGAGAAACAAAATTAAAAAAAAAAACAGAATCCCCCAAAGAACACAAGTTTAGTCACACTGAGGAAGTGCATCAAAAGAACATTCCAATTTGCAGCCAGACTCAACAGGACTAAAAATACTTTAACTGGGGACTGCTTCCTGTCTGGGATGTAGTCTATGGGAAACTAAGGCACAGAAAGGTCTTTCAGCCTTTAGCACAACTTTTCCCAGTCAGATGAAAATGATTCAAGATGAGGGAACTGAAAGAGATGGCATTTTATAAATACCATTAAATAAAAGCCATCAATTTAGGAAATAATTCAGGGGTTTTGATGACTACTTCAAATATAGTCTGAGTCTTTAATTTTCCCTTTCCTCTCCCATTCCCAATCTTTAATTTCTAATAAATGGCAAACTTGTTTGAAGAATACCTCAGGCACAGTCATCTATACTGTGCCAGACCCTTTAATTTTGGGGATAACTGATATGCATGGTTATAGTTTAACTTTTTATGTAAGAACATCTGCAGGATACCAACTTTTATAGCATCAGAAGATGAATTGTTAAACATAACATTTATCTAAGCATAAGCTCATGAACTTAGCAAGACCAAAAAGGATAAAGAAATAACAAAGGAATGCAATATGGAGCACAAAGTTTACTCCAAATCCTCTTTTTAAATTTGGTTTGACAATATTTGGTCAAAGCAAGGAAATACAATTACTTCTAAAGATTTCTGTTTACATGACCAAGTACAAACTGAAATAAAGAAGACTAACTTTGTAAAATGTGAATGCACTCTTCTGCTCTTGTTTTTCATCAGCCTTTTTGCACACATAGTGCTGGTTTAGTAATCATTAACAAAAGCCATAAAGTTAGGCACAAAGCTGAAGATAATGCAAAGTTGACAAAAAACTCGATCAGAAATCCTTCCTGTTTTATAATGTTCTCATAACATAGTTAGCTCCAACAAGACATTAAAGTGCCACATTTCTGTGCTAAATGCTCATTTCAGTGCTCTTTGCATGTTTCACTGGATGCTGACCAGTCTGGGATGGAAGTAAGACCTACTTCTGTCATGTTTACAGCAATATTTTTCAAGCTTAGTAAGCTGTCCTGCTTCAAGGAAGATTCAGAGGTTTGGAATGCTTATTAAAACCTATGTTCTAGTTAAATAATGTTTGTCCTTTATAACGCAATTTGAATATAATATTGACACACAATCAGTGCCTGATGTGTTTTCAAGCATTGACTTATACTAGTAAAATGAGACCTTTATGCCTGAATAGGTCCCCTAAAGGGGTGTAAGTCAGATGGAAGTGAAATTCCAGCTATCTAATAACATTAGATAGGAAATCAAAGTACAAGCTAAACTTCTTAGGCCTTGGAAGGAGTTACAAAATTTAAATAAGGCTTCGATTCAGACACAAGCAGCTTGTTTTTCCCTGTGCTGTGCAAGGCCAGAGCTGCATTTGAAAACTTTGCTTGCACTGGAGATGTTTAAGTCAGTACTTAAACAGAGTAAAGCAACCTGTATGGTTCAAAACTTGCACATGTGCACAAAATCACAGCCTGCAGGGGGTAAGAATGGGACCTTCCTTTTGACAGTCATCATCCTCAGTAACAAACACATATTCTGGAATCAGAAGAGCAAAAAGATTCAAAACACATCTTTAAGGTCACATATGTGACCTTGTGCCTGTCAACCTTGAAATGTTCCCCCTAAAGTAACATTTTCCTGTGTGGTGATGTTTCTCTTTTTCCCAGATGATGAATGCTTTGCATCAAGGAAGTGTCCCTCCTGAAAATACACAATGCAAATTATTCTTCTTATATGGAATCTTGTGCTAATGTAGATTGATTAGATATGACATAATACTTCAGAAAACTGTTTTGCCAGGATACACATCTATTTCCCAAAAATCTTAAATAAATACGACAAGATAACTGACAGTCTCTGAGATTCAGACATATAACTTTTTTACTGAGGAAACAAACTTAAGATCAAGACTTTCAAGATTTAGACACTGAGTTAATAAAGTTCACTACAAAGCAAAAAAAAAAAAAAATGTTAATAGTTGACACAAGTAAAGATTAAAACAGTTTGACAAGATTATACCTGTTCTTCCTTCTACTGAAGTCCAGTTGCTTAAAGTCCCACTAATAGTAGTGATAGTAGCTGTATATTTCCTTCCAGGTATCAAGTCAGTGAAAGTAAATTCCTTAGCTTCTTTTGCAAGTCCCTTTTTTACAACAGGGAGCTCACTGACTTCCAGAGAAACCACATAGCTGTCCCATTCTGCAATAGGGGTCATCCACATGACACTAAGTGAAGATTCATTAGCATGCTTCACACGGAGCTGGAGAACAGGCTCTGGAGCTGGAAAAGTACACAGATATCACAACAAAAACAGGACTGTGTAGTGAGCACACATGCCCTATCTCAAGCTGTTGTAAGAAATGTATTCTGTAAGACAGAAATGTGACAGCAACAGAGTATCTGCAATCAAGAAGACATTCGTTACCTTTCTCAAAGAAGTCATTCTTACAAACCTAGTATTTGTGCCCCTCTTCCAGTAAAGGACTATTAGCAGCAGACTTTAGCAATGCACTATGGCTGTAATGCTTAGGTTTAAACTTACATCAGGATATATATTTTAGTGCAAATGGAAAGCAGGGAAGTCAGTGAACTTCCTCTTGAACTCTGTGTGCTGAACAGGGATATAAGACATTTGTACCATAAATCAGATCTACAACAATGTACTTCTAACAAACAAGGATGCAAATTATAGAGTCAGAGTGACATTGATTTTGCATTGATTTATACCTAAGTCACGCTAAGAGACACTTCAAACTTACAGGGGCATAAAAGAAAGAATCCAATCAGTGAATTTCTCTGTGTGTTCGTGTGTGTGTGCCTGCATACCCAGCAAGCATGTCTTGCCTAATATAGTCCTTGATCTGATTTTGTCCCTGTCACATTGAAATACAACTCATTTTCCAAGTCCGTGGGTTAATGCGAGAGAAAAATGAGTCACAACGAGGTCTAATACCTGTACTTCATAACAGATACATTATTCACCTCACTGTGGGTCAAACACAGTCATGATACACCCACTGCTGAATATTATTAAATGGACCATGTTCTAATCACAGAATCATAGAATCACTTAGGTTGGAAAAGACCTCTAAAATCATTGGGTTCAACTATTAATCGCTTAGCTGAGTCAATTAAAAGTAACACCATAAAGTTAGATTACTTGCAACATATGTCAAAGTAAGGAAGATGATAATTTATCTTGCCCTGATCAAGTTTGCTACAAGTCAGAGAAAGCTTCAGTTCTGTAGCTTCTACTGGTCTTGCTGTTGTGCAAAATTAACAAAATTAAGTCCTCAGGGAATGACAGAGAAGGGTATAGTAGAAAAGGCAGGACTCAGGAAGGGCGAGGATAAAGTAGAATGGCATTACCCAATCTCAAGTTAGACTCGATTATTGCCTGTTATTTCTACTCCAAGTCTTCCTTTCCTCTGAATTGCACTTATTCTGCATTCACTGAGCAGAAATTCTAACAATTATATGAAAATTATTTTTTTAAATTTGAAGTACATCAGATGCGGCTTTGACTAACACACTGCAAAAGAATTCCATTCAGGTCCCTGCAGTGTATATGGATTTCCTTTGGAAACAAAGACCTGGAACAGACTAACCCATTTTCTTTATGGAGCACAAAAACAAGAACTGGGATGTTAAAGGGCAGCCATACTAAGATACATCTTAGCCATATGGCTAATATTCTTTACACAGACTGGCAAGGAAACATACTGATAAACAATACCGGAAGGTCTATAGTGCTTTCTTTAAGACCTTAATAGGGTGCCCTACAATCAGCTACAAAATATAGCAGTGAAATGAACACGTAATGTAACACCTGAGTTGTGACAGAATCATGATATAGTTCCCAAAGATTTCACTAACAAAACATTTACTACTAAAGTAATCCCAAAAGCTCTCACAGAACTGCTAAAATTATTTCTGTAGTTTACAAAGGGAGCTCCTTTTTACTGTATTAATAGTGAAATTAATTTGTGGATTCCCAAGTACTCTTCCACTGTTCACAGGGCTGAACACTTTGCACTCTCACAGTACCTAGACAAGCATACCTGTTCTCCCCATGCAGCGAGTCTTGCTCTGCAAATCGCCGCTCTCCACAATGACTTCCACGCCGTACTCCCTCCCTGGGATGAGGCCCACATCACGGATGAGGTACTCGGTGGTGTCCTTCTCGAGGGTGGTGTTGAGGACCAGGGCTGAGCGGTTCCACAGGAGCAGGTGGTATCTCTCCCAGTCTCCCTCAGGGGGCACCCAGGTCACTCGCAGAGACCGCACCCAGCCACTAGCACCCGCCTGCAGCTCTGAAACTTTCTGGGGAACTGGAGAAAGTGAAAAAGCAGTTCTCAAGTGCGGTATTTCTAGTGAGATTTAAATGTACTGGTAAAACCTGTCCCGCAGCACAGCTATTGTACATGTGCTTGGATGCTTGGACCAGCTAGAGCAATGTGAGCTATTTTGTTGCAAAGGTCGGCTTTCATTTTAAAGACAATTTTTACTCTTTCCCACACAAACCACTCACTTATTTTCCTGCTGGTTTCTGACATCATAAATGGGCAACCCCTCTAAGGGCAGGCAAAATCTCCCCTGTACACTTCTTGGATGCAGCTTGAAGTTTTCAGTCAGGTTCCCTGTTGTTTCCTGCACTTAAGCTCACTTAGAAACTGTCTATCAATTTTTCACTGCTAAGGTTGAAACTTCAACCTTTATTGTCCCAATTCTGGTATCAGCAGCAGAAATGCAAAGCCTAATGACTTCTTTCACAGAAACAGCTTCGACCTTGTGTGCCCTAATTCCTCCCAGCTGTAAAAGACCACTGAGGTTAAGACAGTGGTCCATTAAAGCATCCACTTGATCCTGTCCTGCACTTCAAGGATCCTGAATTTACATACCTAACCATCTCCTGCCTAACCCTTTACTCCTGCAGGTCACATTGGACCACTGAAGCTTTTCTGATTTTCATGGAATAATTGAATATTAGCCAGGCCAAGCAGAGACTAGAAGACAGATGCAGACCCTTAGGAGAGGATACCTGTAATTCATATTGTAGATACGCAAGAGGTCAGCATTGGAGCCCTGAGACATCCACAAGTATTAGCTGATAACTTAAAGGATAGCATCATGTTCTTATCTAGCTTAGTTAATATTTAATTGATCAGTATCTAGCAGAGGATTGAAACCTCTTTACCAGCACCACAAAATACTCATCCGTTTCACTTCCCAGAGGCATAGCTGGCTAACAGACCTAGAACTCCCATATGCCAGTGAATACGGAAAATGTGTTTAAATTTCTGAGTGGATAAAAGCACACAGTGCATTGTTTGGAAGTACAGCTGAACTTACATCATAACAAATAAAGATCAGCCTTGTCAGGCTGACTGGACATCATTACAACTTAATGGCATGAAGTTTCAGTCTCTGAGATGTCCACATTTCTTACCACAACATTTCTTGGCTGGTTCTGCCGCACCCTCTCAAAACACAGCAATGTGCATTATGTTCTTGGGCACCTGGCTCTCTCTGTGAGTTAGGGAAGGTCCCTCTGTGAGAGGGACCCTAAGAGTCTAATCCCTTCAGCATCTGTAGACCTGACAGTCTGGACTTCTGAATTTATCTTTACTCCACAGAGCTTCTGCTGAAGTGAATGTTTTCAAAGCTCTTGATGTCTGTAGTAAAGGAAGGAATTGCTTATGATTAGCATCCTTGGAAATAGGACTTGTAATCCCCAACTTTGAAAGCACTGGGTCTAGGTCACAAAGCTGGGGATCGGTGGCGAGTGAGGGCCTGAAGTTCTCCCTTTAGACTGATATGGTAATCTTAAAGACTTAAATAGTAGGCTAAACAAACAAAACAGACATGTATATAAACTAGCCTAGTTTTGTACTTTCTGGACATGAACGACTTCTATGGCTCTTCCAGCCTGCACTGAGAATGGGGTATCAGCTAGCTATGTCAAGGATGTGACTTTCAGAAGAGATGTTTAATTGTAGACAATAAATATTTTCTAAAACAAATACTCTGCTCTCTTACACAAACATTTTTTACCATTTGGCTCTGAGTCTACTAGAAATTTATGTATGCATTCTTCACCGCGTTAAAGATTTTTTTACCATCTTACTTTTGCTCAGGCTAGGCTGGTGTGGAAAAGATGGCACACCTCTAGGGCATTATTACTTCTGAAAGAAGATAAACTCATGACTCAGCTCTATCCCAGCTGCCAAATGCCTTTGTTAATCCACGCTGTTTATAGTAAAGAAATCTGAGATGTCAGCTTTTCCGGTTTGTAGATTTGTGTCTGGAAGAAGGAATAAGACTAGACCTTGCAAAATTACTTTAAAGACTATTAATAATTTGACTACATGCACACTTCCCCATACTGTAACTCAATTTATGTAGTATGCTGAGCTGAATTTAAGACAACAAAGTTGGTCAGAAGTGCAGCAGTATGGAACAGCTCTGTAACAGACTAATTCAACGATAAGATCCAACAAAAATTCACGACTGTTGCCTGATCGCAAGATAAACTGGAGCTGCTTTTGGCTGTCAAATTAACTGCTGACAGAGAGTCAGCAGGGGGTATTCCTGAAACACTATTGTGCTCTTAATCTCATTTTGTCTGGAATCCAAACAATTTTGTCTCTTACAATGATTTGCTACAAGGCCAGTGTAGGCAAAAATTAGTTACAATGTTCTTACTGAAGCAGAAGACTTACATGTCCTGCCAGTTGCCATCAGATCAGTGAACAGTTCGCCACTGATGGTGCGGGCAGTAACCTCATAAAGACGTCCTGGAGTTAGCTTGTCAAACTGTGTCTCTGTGACTGGTGGCTGCACAGTTTTGACTTCTTTAACTGATCCAAGATGAGACAGAGTGATATTATAGAAATTGAGGTTTCCTGAAGGTCTTCTCCACCTAACTTTTAAAGCATCTAAGCTGCCATCGTTGGTCACCATCAAATCTAAGACTTCAGCTGGGGCTAAAAAAAGAAAATAAGAAAGAGAATAAAATACATCCACCACAAAACATACAAGACTTGCTGCCTCCCAAACTCCCATAGTTAAGTTTTGATTTTGACTAATTATATGAGATGGAGTATGAATGATTTTGCCTGAACAGTGAAGTCTAGTCACAGTGCACATCACTTCCCTACATTACTTCCCTTCCCTAAATCACTTCCCTAAATGCCTCCCATGCAAAACCACCACATTTGATAAGATTTCTGTAGAAGAAATTGTATATTACTCTTCCCAGAAGTTAAGGAGTGAAGGCGTGACCCTTTTTTTCCCTATATAAGTGTTTTAACCATTGGACACTAGTAGGATGCCATCTTATCATTATCTATATGACCACAGAACTCCAGCCCAAAAAAATATTCCTGAAAAAAAACAGCAAATCCACAAAAACCCATACCAAACCAATCAAATAGGCAAAAAAAAACCCCCCAAAAAACCCAAGACACTATTTAATTTTAAAATTAAGCTACTTTACATTTTTTTCCACTTCCCTTTCACACTTTTTCTACTTTCATTTTAGCCTCTAAGTTTGCTGCAGTGGTAACTTAGGGAATTAAATAAGTTTATGTTGTCTCTAACTTGGAACACAAATAACTTATTATTCTGAAATATGTCCTATAATACTATAAGGTTATGGTCTTAGCTTCTTGTTTGTTGTGATGAGTTCTGAAATCATACCTGAATTCTGAAATCATACCTGTCCTGATTGTCTGAAAAGTGCTGCTCTCCAATCCTGCAGCCTGGGTTATGATAGAGAGGTTATACAGGTGGCCTGCTGTAAGTCCTGAAAAGGTGTAGGAGGTCAGGGAACCTTCCTGGTGAATCTCATGAACTGGTACATGATTATCCAGCAACAGCAGCCTGTAACGATCCACATGTCCAGAGCCAGAAGACCACGAAACGTGGATAATGTCTGTCTTGACACTGACCTGAATATTTTTCACAGGAGATGGCACTGTTGGTATAAAAAGAACATATGCTCAAGGCCTAATGGTTATCTGCTTCATTTCAGCAGTTTTGAATAGATTTACTCTTGGAATATGTTGGGTTTCTTTAGGGTTATTGAAAACCCAATCCCAAAAGCACAATAAAAATGAGACTCTATTCTTCGCAAACAATTCTTTATGTCAGTAAGTGATTCATATTTAATTTCTACTTATAATCAATAGATACTTCATATATATCTATATATATATCTATATATATAGTCATGTAGAAGAATTATACCAATTTTCTAATTTCAAAATGCAGAAGTACAGAATACTGTAAGTGGTTTTACTTAAATGAACTACAGGAAAAGAAGTCTTACCAGTGGATCCACTTATGTGAAGTTCTGGTGTAGTCTTATTTCCAGCAACAGCACTGAGGACAATGTTGTACTTATTCCCAGGAATGAGACTGGAAAATGTATTTTCTGTTTTTGAAATGCTTCCTGGTATGGAGACTTCTTGTATCTTTTTATTATCACGATCAAGTAATACTAGGTTATACATGTCCACCTTTCCTGAGGAAGGATTCCATTGAACATGCAAGCTTGTGAGTGTAGTTTTTTCCTTATTAATTTCCAAATGAGATGGTGGCAAGGGATCTGTAGTTCGGAAAAAAACCAGAAAACATAAACCACTTCTTGCTTTGGGATTGTCTGAAATTTTACACAGCAGCACGAGAAATTTTCCAAAACTCTCATTTTATCATCATGCTGCCAATACTTTTCAAAAAGTTTTTTCTTTCTATTTATAAACACTGTGCATTGAAGCCATTCTACAAGAGAGTCTTGAAGAACTCAGAAATATTACTTTCATGTATTTGCACACACTCACACACACAGACATATACATAGCAAAACACTTCCACTGTGGATGTATATTGCAAGCTTGGAAATTTGCTGATAATAAAACTGTAACAACTTTAACAAGAAACAGCAAACATGTAAACCCAGTATTTCAGTGTAATGTAGCTTTATAGATGGCAGCAACAGCTTTCATTTCCTAGCACTCACCCTAAACACTTTATTAGTTATGGGCATGAGCATTTATACAATTTAAAGGGCAATGCTCTTTTGTCTTTAGTATTAGCTTCCACAACTTCAGATTCTGATAGAATATGCTTCTGCTTTGTTGTTGTTCTGTTTATAAAAATTTTAAAAAACCCAAACAGTACATTAGATACACCTTAAGGAAATAATACTGTGATTACTTCTCTGAAACTCTCAACATTCATTATGTTGCTTTTTAAGAAGCTCTCCAGTAAAATCACCTGTGAAATTAAGATACACTCTATAGGAAAGGCAAAGTGACCAAACCTATAGAATCTGGTCGATTTTATTCTCCAGGTGCATTTCATCACTCACAAGACTTCATGCATACCACACAAAATGTAGATGTACTAAGGTATTGACATTTATGTCTTCTAATAAGGTTAAGAAAATCCTTATTAAGAAGGTTATCATGAAACAACCCAAAGCAGTGCAATCAAGCCTTCTGAAGCTGGAACATAAAGTTTCCTAACAATTTAGAAATAAACTTGCCTACCACAGAGAACACTCTATGCTACTCTTTCCTAGCATCAGACCAAGAGTATAAGGTGCATCCAGGCTGAGAACTGTGGTCTCTGTAGGAACAGCACCTCAGCACACAGAAGAATAAGATTTTTTTTCCAATACAGTCATTGCTGCTTAGTTCCCTGAACAAAGAAGACGAAAAAGTGTCAACCACATAATTAAAAAATGCAATGTAAAGGCTGAAAGGATGAAGCTGAACCTACCCCCCACATACAAACAGGTAAGTAGGAGGGTCTTAGGAGCCCTTATGCTGCTTTTTCTTCAAATTCCGGATGGTTTAATCAATTCCTACAAAGCTCTGCCTAGAACAGAGTAGTACCAAGTTTTGGTGGTATACTTTGTCAACCAAATACATTAGGAATGTCAAGGAAGCATCTCCTTCCTTGGAAACATTCAAAAACTGACTAGAGATGGTCCTGGGCAACCAGATCCAGGTGGCCCTGCTTGAGCCAGGCGCTTGGACCAGATGACCTCCAGAGGTCCCTTCCAGCCTCAACCTTTCAGCATTCTGAAAAATACTGTGTCCCTTTGAACCTATGTCTCTGCTTAAATTCAAGTTTTTCTTTGGACTACAAAGATGTTAGTGCTCTTCAGAAAAATAAATGAAAATTAAACAAATTGATTTACATAATTAATCAATAAAACTATCTTTTCTTGACTGCTTTTTTAAAGGCCAAACTAAGTCTGCTTAAATCTGAAAAAAAATCTGAAAAAAAAAAAGTAATATTAAAAATCAATTAAAAGACCAAGCACATCAAACTTCAGGCCAAATAGTTAAAACTTCACCCAGTTACAGCAACTGAACCATGAGGTTTTAATGAAAAGTGTCAGGAAATCTTAACAATAGGCTTGACTACCAGCTCCACCTAAAATATATACTAAGCCACTAAAGACTATTATCTTGGCAAAAGTGAATAGTGGGGGTATAATCTTGTTCCTTGAAGGCAATTGTTCTAATCTGAAAGGTCAGACTTTGGAAGTCAGAAATAGATTCCAGCACTATATATGGTCAGATGCACAGCCAGCTGAAAAAGTTTTATTTGACTGACATTGAGAGAACAGTCATGATAACTATCAAGAAGTTTAACCCTCTTTCTGACTAAGTTAGAACAAGGTCGACTGTTCTTTAGTCCTGCAAAAGTAATCACCATTGTCATCTGTATTATTTGCCAAATTTGACAAAAAAAGATAGCTGCATTTTTAGAAGCGCTTTTACTGTCCTGGGTAAGCTGTCTTCTAAGGTGCATGAGCAAAGAAGAAAGTTGCGTGTCTAGAAGGTGAAGTTCAGAAATTCAGACTTTATCTAATCTATCTGGTCCAGAAAACAAAACACTCAGTGCTTTGTACATCCGCTAGAACAAAGGAACAATGAGACTGGGAAGTGCCTGGGCTGAAAGAGCCCTGGATGGAAACAAACACTTAAAAAACCATTTACATTGTTATACAAGTCTCTGTTGGCAATGATACAACACCGATATATCACAGAAATAAAATATTTTCATCAAGATATTTTTATACCATTTGACACTATACAAATTAATGTCCCCTGGTTTACAAAGGCATCTTCCAGAGACTTAATGGTCTTTGAATTCTATTGCAACTCTATTTTCACTTTTGGGGAAGAGGATATGCTTTCTCTGCACAGCTGCTGCAGATCCAATTTATAGATATGGCTAAGTCAAACTGCAGTTTGACATGACTCCCAGATACAGACTGTAAGCACAGAAACACACCTGCCTTATACAGGAGAAAACAAAAACAACTGGGAGGTATGTGCCCAGGACTTAATAATGGGGAATTTCTGCCAGTCTCAGTTACCTTCCTACCATATTATCCATTTTTCCTAGCTTTCCCTCTTCATAAAACAGTAACCTACTTCATAAGGATTTTTCTGAAGATTAAGTAAAGAGGTTGATTTCATTGTCTTTACTAAACACAAATATCCATTTCTTTGGGATGATATGCAACTTAGAGAATCTTTAAAATATGCGTGTTTATTTTCTTCTTGTACTCTGTCTTTGAAATGATGATCATAACCATTACATGATTACAGATGATAGGTTTATACAGCCTACAGTTAGAGCCATGTCATGTGTTGTTCCAACAGATGGCTAATAAATCAAATTTGTCCCAAATAATTTGAAATTTACAGGAGTGAACACATTGCCTGAGTATGCTTATGGCATTTAGAGAGTTACATATTAGAATAAAAAAACACTCCAACAGTCTGTGTCTTGGAAGATAAAGTTCTATCTTCTTTTCATTCAAATATTTAATGGATTTTCTAACAAAAAATTATTTACTTGTAGTTATCTCAGTATAGAAGCTTGGATTGGGTAGCAACATAACATAGTACTGCAATATTTTTGTAGAGAAAGATTTTGAAAATGGCATTTATAAGTCTATTTTAGAAGATACAGTTGAAAGTGGGGTAATTGCCAAATTGTTTTCCATGGCTCTCAAGACCAGTATCTCTAATCTGCATTTCAATTCTGAATTGAAATTCATAAATTTAACTGTATTTTAGGATCTATTCATATACTACTGTTTTTAACTAGACCTAGTCATTTGTTGAAATACAGTTATAGTGAGGAGGTTGGAGGTTTGAGAACTTAAAATGTATCTTACTTGTAACCGGGAAAGACAAAAACCTCCCATCTTTTGCCATACATAAATTCTTAATCACGGAAATAGTTTTACTGAGAAAATGAAGAATATAACATGAAATGACTGACAGGTACATAGCCCAGCTTTACAACGTCAGCAGCATGCTGACTAGTATGGTTTTCTGTGCTGTTTAATGTACATGTGTATATCTATATATGTGTGTATCTTAGAAAAATCCCAACAAATTGTAAATATTAATATGAAGCAAATATGCATTCTTGTGCCTACTAACATCTGTAATCTCAGTTTTGCAATGGAGAATTTCTCTGTAGCTCAGAGCTGATAAATGGTGTTATCATATTTTTCTTTCTTTCCTATTCTACCAAAATAGCACAAATGTCCCCACTGTGTGTGTTTCCATGTCTATGCATACATGGCTTATGAAGTGCATATGTGACAGTATTTTCCATTTTTGATTACCTATTTTAATTCTGCTCTACTAGAAAAAATACTTGCTATTTTAAATTTACAATCCACAGATCACAATTTCTTGAGTAAAGAGAGTCACTTTAGAGAACTAGTTGGATTCTTGCACCACTATTTCATACATCATTAGACTTTAGATCTAGGTATCCACAAGTGAAATAGAAGCTGCTTCTCCATGAAAAGATTCACAAGGGTGAATCTGGTGTTACTTGAGAGTTTATGGAATCTTCACAAGCTGCACAGTTATTCTATCGGAAATATCGAACTTGCAAACAACAGATCATTATTTTAACGTGACATTGTATACTCAAAAGGCCAATATGGTCCTCTCCAAGCTTTTACATTACCACTGCAACTGTGGCATGCATCATTCCTTGCTTTCACCATGAGTTCCTAGTCAGAAAAGATCACACTCAAAATTTAACCAAATGTTTTGGATTTTAAGTGCTTAGCTACTCAAGTACTTTGTGTAAGAAACTTGATGAAACCTAAACTCAGAACTGGCACACAAACATTTTTACAGGATTGAATATGAGCAAAAAATAGTTTCTGAACTAGGTATATAAACAAACCTGTAACTTTCTCACACTTTCTCATGTTTATTTATTGCATCAAGATGATACAGATGCTCAAACATCATTTTGCAAAACTAAACACATGAGATGGGATTCCTTTCACTTCAACCAACTACACTTCAGCTTCCTGGTCTAACCTAGTCTCCTCTGATAGCCAGTGGAGAAAGCACCTTCAATGGACATCTTAGCCCATCTTCCTTAGGCAGGGAACCTCACTGACCAAGGTCAGACTTCGTGGTTTTAGATAGCCCATGATAACTCAGTTCCACTACCACTGAAATTGGTGGAAATTTTGTTTACAATATGGCTGGAAAGACTGCTTATACTTCCATATTTACAGGACAATTTCCAGGAACGCATGCCTATGGACATTCAGGCTTAGTAGATAGTAAACTAAAACTACTGTCATCAAGTCACAAAGAACAGGTGAAAAAGAGCTTCCATGAAATTGGTTTAAAATGCTGCCCCTAGTGGAAACATAAGAGGAATATCCTCCCTCATTCTGCATTGAAAAGCTTAGTATAGACAATACAATATTGGTTGTTCACAGGCATAATGTAGAAAAATTCTTTTAAAAAAATGTTAGGGCTAATTGTGTATTTTGAACACCATCAAGTAATTCAACTCAAGGAAAACAAGGAACCATAGAGCAATCTGAGTAGCTCTCTGCAGGAAACATTCATGGCTCCTCTATTGTTATTTCGTGCTTTTGACTGATCTCTGCTATCCAAAATCTAAATGTAAACCTCACGTCAACTATGGTATACCAATTATCAGTATTTCAACTTAAACTTCAATCAGACGTCTCACTCTGATGTCAGCTTCATAATATGACTCTAATGATCAGCTGTTTTCAATCACTTTAATCATATAGCCTTGAAAAATCTATTTAGTGATAAAAAAGTCAAAAATGGCATGTACAAGCTTCTGTGTTAATGGTTATGCATTAATCAAAATGTGCTCTAAAGTGGTATCTTCTCACCTTCTATGCATGTGTTCAATAATAGAACTTTACTATACAGAAATGATGACAATTTATACCCGTCTCTCCAATAATGGCTGATCTATTATTTCAATTTTCACATTAAAAGTCATCAATATTAATATTAAAAACAATCAGCATGATGCACAACAAATTTAAATCACTATCTTCACAGAAACTATTACTCAAGTACGTGGTATAAGAAACTTGATGAAACCTAAAATCAGAACTGCCACACAAAAATTTTTACTAACTGACATGACTTGTACTTAGTGTATAGATATGACACCAGCAGACTTGTCAATAGATTTTTTTAAACTTGAGTTACCACAGCAAATTAATGGAGAGTATTTAGTGCATTTGTATGGTCAATGCAGGAAAAAGGTTCTGACAGAAAGCAACATCTCTAAATAGGTAATTGTGAATTACTTGGCTGCTGTAATCCTCAATACTAATATTAAGTACCTCTCTAAAATTAACACCTTAGGGGCAAATCAGAGAGACATTTCATGATGGACTTTATTTAAGATATCTTGGTTTTGGGTCTTGAAGTACTATAATTAAGAGGTTGAACAGTATTATATTTTATCATCTTCAAAACAGCACAAATACAGGTAGAAAGAGGCCAGTTGTGCCACTGCAGCTGTTGTCATTCAGTGTTGTCCATTGCTTCACACCTGAATTGTTCGCATGCCCACACAAACATGAATGCAGAAAGGGGCTTTCCTTGGCAGTCCTCTGCCAGGCTGCTGGACCATTCCTACAGCCAGCCATGGATGTGTCACTGTAAGTGCTCTGTACACAACTGTATATCATAACACCTCACTGGTGATAGCCAAGGAAAATATATGAGGGAAGTTTCAGTCTTACTTTCTGACTTTCAGACTCTGGTTAGAGAGAATAAAAGTATGGAAATGGGCTGAAACAGTAAGTTATCTTTAAAGAAGATTTACCTGCTATGAAATAGATTGTATTTTAAACACAGTAAATAAACTGCCAGCTGAGCAACTATGAATACAGTGCATTTACATGAGCACAAAGGATGTTATGGGCTACTACTCGAAAAAACTTTTTTTTTTTACTTAATATCCTCACAGCCCCTTCTTTTTTCAAGCCTGCGGAGTCAACTGTCGGTAGGAGTTACTTCTGGCAGTGGGCTAAAGAGAACTCAAGCGCAGGGCTATGTTCAGCAAACACTGTCTACTTTCAGTGGCTGTAATTGCTCCGCTCTCCTCCTCCTCTTGGAGCCGGCCGAAGCAAGGGGAAGAAGATGAAAAGCCGGGCGTCCCTGCCCGCGCACCTGCCGCGCCCGTACCTGTCTGCAGGGAGATGTTGAGAGCCTCGCCGCCAGCGAGGGGCTGGATGCGCAGGTGGTACCAGGTGCCGGCCTCCAGGCCCCGCAGGGTGCAGCCGTAGGTGCGGTTGCCCGCGGGGGCGGGCTGGCAGCCGGCCGCCTCCCCGTCCTCCGAGCGCCCGCTCAGGCTGAAGTTGCAGGCACGGCCCGCGGCGCCCCAGAGCAGCCGAACGCTCTGCCCGGCCACGCTCCGCTCCGTCAGGTTGGCGCTGCATCCCGCTGCCTGCTCCGGCGCGGCCTGCGGAGAGCGGGAGGGATCTGAGAGACCCACCAGTACCCCCGAGATCCGCTCCCAGCCCGTCCCCGCTGTGCCGCTGCGGGGCGAACCTGCCCGTGTCCCCCAGGCTCGCCTGCGACCCGCGAGGGACGACCCTACACCGCCCCCCTCCTCCCGGCCGCTCACCTTGGTCAGGGCCAGCGCGGTCCACAGGGCGAATCCTGCCCCATAGCTCAGCATCGCCGACAGTTTTTAACGCAAAAAGCCCTCGCGGGGAGGGGAAAAGGGGAAGGGACGGCGGCGTTGGGGTGGGGGGGATCCGAAGAAGCGAAGTGGCGGCGGCGGGCCCCGGGGGCCCCCGCTCCCCGCCGGGCTCCGAGCCCTGTGCCGGGCCGCCCGCCTGCTGCATGCGCTCGGGGCTGCCCGGCCGCCGAGCCGCCTCCCCGATACCGGCGTGGGGTGGGGGGGCTGCCCGCCCGCGGCTGAGGAGGAGCGGAGGAGGCGGGGGAGGCGGCCGCCGCTTCCCACGCTGCCATTCTGACCCGAGCTGACTTTCCCGCAGCCCTTCCCGCCGACTTCCGCAATCAAGAGGCGATTTCCTCGCGTCTCGCTGCGGGGGCGAAGCTCGGCGGCTCGGGACCTGCCGCCCACCGGGCAGGCCACCGGCCCCGGCGAGCCGCCCCTCTCTCCTTAAGGATCCCACCTTCCTCCCGGCTCCTCTCCCACCCCACCTCCTTTCCTTCCTCGCTGCTTCTTCCTCATGTCGGTTTTCCCCCGTGTCTTGTCTTCCCCAGCGCTGCCCCCGGCGCACGGGGCCCTTCGGCAGTGCCGCTGTTGGGGGCGGCGCTCTTGTCTCGCTGGCTGCGCCTCACCTAGCGCTGCCTTGCCTTGGCTGCATCGCCTCGCTATATCTTCTTGCCTCTGCCTCAACTTCGCGGCTGCCTTGTCTCATGCTGGTCTTGCCTCATTCCCACCTTGCCTGCCTTACCTCATGGCCACTTTGCCTCCTGTGGTTCTTTCTCCTCCTACCTACCACTCCTCTTGAACACATTTCCTCACGCTTTCTTCATTTCATGATGTCCATTCACCTCGCACCTGCCACCTTTCACAGCTGTTCCACCATCTGGCCCACCCTCCTCTTGGCCTCAGCTATCAGTAACCCACCAGTCCAGCTCCCGCATCCCAAACTCTGATGTGTTTAAAGGTTAACTGTAGACCACCAAGGCCTCCATTCTCTCGCTGGCCATGTGGCACTGCAACCAGAGGCCTTGCATCCAGGAGAGTCCAGCAGAGCCCAGCCGAGCTCCTGCCTGCAGCAGCAGAGTCTGTCTGTGACCAGCCAAGTCATCTCTGTTTTCTGTTTCAACTTGTGTCCTTGAAACTATTCCTTCCCACATCCCCTGAATAACTCCCAAGCTAAAATTACACATGCCATGGAAAGTGAGAGAGTCTCCCTGTTTTCAGACTGCACCAATAAAGCTGTTTGCAACTACGAGTTGGCTACTGCCAAAATGAAAACTTTCCATTTCTGTCATGCATACCCATTTCCTTCTTGCTCACATTTCAGCCTCTGAGAACTCACATGTCAGTGTGTACATGGGGAGACAGAGAAGAAGTGTAGACAGAAACATTTTTGCACCTCAGATATTCAAATACACAATAGCAGCCATGGAGTGAATTTGGAGGTGCACAAATGAGAAATGAACATTTACTTTCTTCAAAGGGAATGGTATTTTTCTGCATCTTTCTTTGCTGCATTATGCGTGTGGGATTTTAACTTTTAAAAACAGTACCTCAATCAAATTCAACACCATCTCTGTATCACTTTTGCCTTCTTTGAGGGAGAAAAAGGTTCTAGGTTCTACAAACATTAGTCTGCCTTTTAGGGGACCTGCTGCTCTAGGATTTTTCTGGGCACTAGCCTGTCAAACAAGATACAAATATCTGAAAAACCTTAGCTGTCCTGTTATGAAACCAAAAGTCTGAGCACTCAAAGGTGTTACCTGCACCTACAGAAAACTTCATCTGTCCCAGTGGAGCTCCACGCTTGGTCCTAGGGACATGGTACTCAAAGTGTTGTGCTGTACTTTGCAAAGCTGGGGGTAGTTAATAATTATCATTACCTTAAGTGGCAATAAAAATCTGTGTTGGTTATTATGCCACAGAAGAAAATCTCCTTTGGAAGAGATGCTTTACATACTTCAGACAGAAGGAGGAACCAAACCCCAAAGATAATTATACCATTGATAGGAAACACAAGGTGTGTTTCTTAGAGCTAAACTGGGACTAAAATGACATAGATGTCTTGTAATCATTTAAGGTAAGAATTTTACAGTGTGATTTCTTCTTTTGGTGATAGTGATTTGAGCTTGACAGCATAAACCACACCAATACTTTTCCACCACTGGAGAAGTGCAAATCTGAAGGCTTATTGGGATGCTTGGATTACTTCAAAACCCTCTCTGAAGATTAAAACATTCAGGGTAATCTGCTTTTTCTTGAAAAGTAGCTCACATTATTCTAAGTATTTTTTAAAACATCAATGACCTGAACTTCCAGGGAAGATATAATTTGGATATTTACATGTAAGTTGTTTAAGTAGATGTAACAAGTAAAAGGAAAAAGAAGCATAATCAACACCGCAAACATAAAATTCAGGACAAAAAGTGGAACCTACCACAAATAAAACTTTAAGATTTTTGGAAATAAATACGTGTTTGTCTCTTCTAGCTAGCATAAGATAATTTGTGGAGGAAAATGATATTACTGCTTCTTAGAAGTGATCATAATTCAGAAGTTCCTACTTTATTACTCTTATTCTTGCTATCATAAAATCTTTGATTTTCTGTATTAGTAGGAAAGTACTGGTTTATTACAGGTTTTGAGACCTCCTTCTGTATGTTATCCTGCAAAAGTTGCTACATGGGTAAGGTCTGACACAGATGTCTATGCCAACACTAGAATAAAAAATGAGGGGTCCATCATTGACTGGGGGCAATATATTTATATAGAATAGCCAACATAATGCAAGTAATTATTTCCAGACTGTTATTGAATAAATGGGCTTTTAGTAAATCAGCAGTCACACAGCCTTTAACACTTACTGACCTGTGTGGCAAGCCAAGAAACTAATTAAACTGAAAAAAGAACTGGAAGGGAGTTTTGGGAGTTGCCGGATGTGTCTCTAATAGCAGGCTCCAAAGTCCCTTTCAGACACTTTCCCAAGGTTTCCTGACTTTTTTTTTTTTAACACCAACCTCTCTGTCTCTCTAATCAAGAGGAAATGGGCTTTGCATAGCTTTTGTCATGGATTCAAAGTGCAAGCTGCAGTTTTACTTGAAATCCATGGCAGCTCTAAACCAAACATTTTGTTCAATTGAAATGTCACTATTGTCCCCCCCAAAATGGGTATGTGCACAGCCAAATAACAACATGGCTTTACTTCTGCAAACAAGAGGCCCTAGTCTGGGCAAATGGAGTTCATAGGAGGTATTGTCTTCCTCACAACAATATTCAGCACTTAGTCTATATATTTTCAAAGTATTGTGTTAAATCCAGTAATCCAGTTATTACTTTAAACATCCCTGAAATTTGAAAAAAAAATGTTTTTAATTCTACTCTAAAGACTGGGAAACAGAGAGGGAGGCCAAAGATTTTAAGTTTGTGTGTCTAAATTGGTATATCTAGATTCAAATGTCCAGAGCCAGTTGGAAGCTACAAGAGCAAGTTATTACTGATTTTTTTTTTTTTTTTTCATAAATATGCTTAGACAGCTTATCATCACAATTCTGGTTTGAAAGTTTTGACCTAAGCAGCTTGTTCAGTGCAAATGATGTGATTCAGGAGGTGAAGTGGGGTAGAAACACAAAAGGCAGTAGTTTCTGTTAAAATGTTGGCATTTGTCTTGCTTTGGCAGGATTATGTGGTAGAGTGTTGGAGGCAGTCTGGGGAATACCTGTTTTTATAGGACATTTCCATTTGGAAGGAACTAGTATTCTGTGGGGAGATATGCAGATGAACGGAGGCTATGAGGAAACAAGCTCAGCCTGCATGCACTGAGCCAGAAAGATCACATTTAAAAAGAGCTGCATCAGTTGTGGAATGGGGTGCAGTGTGCCCATCCTTGGCTCAGTCCCTTGCCCTCATCAGCATCAGAACAGCAGTGTTGGGGTCCATAAACAATCACCTTTGTGGACTCTGACATTCTATCCACAGCCTTCCTATACATAAAACACATTTCTTAGTCTTATCCACTTCAACACACAGTAGTAACTGAAGCATATTTGCCTGCCCCAATACATTGAGTGTAGCATGTTCCTCTGCAAGATAAGCTCACAGGGAATTTAGGGTTTTTCAGTTCTAAACCGCTACGTGATAACAGAGATAAAGGGACCAATAATGTCCTGAATGCTTTAGTTCTAACTGCCTGTACACATTTTGCCAGTGGTGATTCCAGATTTGCTTTCACATTACTGAACTGAGTCTTGCAGAAAAGGGAGACTGGAAATTGATTTGGAGCAAATGGCCTGCCATGTTCTCCTTCTGCAGCTGGGGCCGGTAGCCCTATTCACCTTCTCTGCCAGGACAGTTAGAGCAGAGACCAAGTGTCTGTGTGTTTCCACTCTGCCTATGAGCCAGTAAATAAGCTGGCCATGGCCAAGGCTAGGGTTCCTTTTGAGGCCAGTTAAAACATTTGTATTTCTCTTGCTTTGATCTGTAAACAATGTATATAATTATCTGTAAATAAGGTCATTGCATGCTGTAATTCTTAGCATGTAATTAGAGCTAGACCGTCACATCATGCAACAAATAATACCAGGGCCTAAGTCCCTGAGAGCAGATACCCAGGCTCCTGTGAGTCCTGTCACTTCCAGGAACTTTCCATTGCTTCTCACATATCCTGCTAATACTTCTCCCAGTGAAACATGTGCACCAGTATTGGGCTTTACAGAAGAGGCAGAATTTTTCTGCAGCTATGCTTCTAGCAAAGGACACTGTCAGCATGAACATCAAAACAAAGCATCCCACCAAAAAAAGAACAAAGCTTAGTCTTTTGACTGATTTTTTTCAGGTTTGGTTGTTGTTTTCTTAAGCCCACTTGTAATAGCTATCAGGCTCCACAGAGTGGAGCAGGCTTTATAAAAATCAGTAGTTCTGTCTTACCTCTTCTGTAGTGCTAGAGTATTGAAGAGTGGTTGTTGGAATCCAAGCTTTCTCTGTTACTGCAGATTTCAAGACTAAGTAGAGGTTTTCAATGGGATTTTTACTGAAGTGTTCAGTCACATTTTTGATGAACATCTCTGTGCTACTTTTCAACACATTTTCAGGCCTAGAAGTTATAGCATTTGAAGAGGGGGATGTAGTTATAGTACTCCACACAGAAGTGTCTGCATCTTGGAGATCTAAAACAAACAAAGGAATATGATTAAATTCACCTCAACATTTTTATAAACAATTCATTAGCTTCAATAAACGTGGGTGATACACTTTCCAAGTAGTTCAAGTGCACCTGTCAATTCTATAAGTTTTTTGTTTTCAGTGCAAATGTGTTCTTGCATTAATACCAAAACCTGCAAAACACAACCAGGAAAAAAAATAATGTCTCCGAACACTCATACCATTAATTTTAAATGTAGTCTCTCAGTGATTCTGAAGGGAAGAGAAAGGTTGTACTTTGTCACTAATGGCACAAGTTTTTTCATTTGCAACTTTTTCACTTGTATCTATCAAATGGCACACAGTACCAGCTTTATGACCCTCTCCCCTCCTTTCTAAGTGCATTGTCCAGATTCACATCTGCCTTTTGTTGGTGTAAGTTTAAAACACAGCTTTGTTCAGTATAATTTTTCAAGATAATTTTTTTTCTCAACATAAGTGCTCAAGTTAAGTTCCTTGTGCCCACATGAGCATTTCTCTTGCTTTCTAAAATCAGTCCTATGCTGACCCCATGCTAATCCCTGACTGCTGCCTTCCCAAGGCTCAGCTAATGATCTATCACTTAACTGAAGTATCTGTAAATATGGCAATGGGTTCGCTTTTTTAGTCACGTATCCTTCAGAGAAAGCCAAAGTTGCAATTAGAGCTCAGGAAAGATTTTACTACACATTTTTCCTCCACATTTTCATGGCTCTTCCTCCCCATTGGTATGTATTTAATATCCTTTCTTTGTGGCAGTGAGGGCAGGGTTCAAGCTGTGGTGGCCTCTACATCTGGTAGCATCACATTTCAGCTAAACTATTGGAATTACTCACTGGCCCCTTCTCACAAAAAGCTGCCCTGCCATTGCTGTAACACAGCTAATGTGTATTGGCCCGATGCCCAAGACACTTTGTCTGTCCTTGAACTGAGATCTCCAGCATGACAGAACCTTGTTTGGCTGCTGAGCCACTGGGCTGGTTGCCATTTATAACAATTTTAGCCCACAAGTCCTTTAAAAACAAAGTAGTGACTGGGTTAAATTGCAGCAGAAGCTTTCAAATGCAATTACTTGGTGTGCAATTATGATGTCTTAGCTGAGCAATGTGTGATTACTTCTTACCCAAAGGAGCAGTGGGTGAGCTTCCACAAAATCAGGTTTTTCTGTATATGTGTAAATATATGTGTTAACATGTTTTTGTAAAAAAAATTGCAGCACTTTGATTTGCACAGAAAAAGTGAGATTGTAAATCCTAATAGGAGGCATTTCCATGCAAGTGTTTGCTGTGCTTGACAGCGCAGCGCATTCACCTGGTACATGGTTCTGGAACTTTTTGAAAAGTAGTGGTTTACTGGAATGGGTTGGTATCCAGAGCAGATATTTTCCTTCCTTTTATCTAATTGTGCTTCTCTGGAAATAAAAATTCAAAGTCTCCATTAAATTACAAAAAAAGTTGACTAAATATTTTTTTCAAAACAAGGCAGTGAAAGCAATACTACAGATCTAATTCTTCTCTCACACTTGTGCAAATGGTTTCATTGAAACCTCAGGTCTTGTCCAGCTCTGCACAATCATCTTCATGCTACTGCCTCTGCATAACTCCCTGTAGAGAGCCTGAGGCGCAGACTCTGCTGTGGTCCCATGTCACATACCTTCATGGTTCCCACCAGAAGGACAGGAACCTTGTGATCAGCTGCTGCAACAAACCCATTAGCTGACAAAAGTCCGGACTTAGTCTAGATTCCATGACAGTCATTGTTCCTGGAGATCTCCTATTTGCTGTGGGTCTCTGAAAGTCTGTGGTAGGCAACTAGAAATCCTAGCCCCAAGGACTTGGAAAGAGATCTATGCCTTTCAGATATCTCCGAGATATCTCTCTCCTACTTCAGCAGGAAGTAGAACTTACTGACAAAAAAAGGGTATATCTGCAGTCAGCAATCTGTTAGAAAAAAGGCCATACAGTTGCATTTCTAAATATATATTTACACACCCAACATGAAAACACACACAAAAAAATCTTAGCTTAATTTACAGAAAAATAGCAGTGATTCCAGCAGGAAGACATTTGCATACCAGTGCAATTGTGCTTTAGGAAAGCTGCTCCTCCATAAAAAGGAAGCTGGTGCTGCCAGTGACATTTGTGGGATTCAGCAGCCAGGGAATAACTGGCATTCTTGGTGCAGGAGCTGAGGGGGGAGCTCAACAGTCCTGGAAGCAAAACACTAGGTCCTCAGAAAAGTTCCACCATCCCACAAAGGTTCCATGAACAAGCATTTGGTCACTGCATCACCCAACCTTTCATGTTAATAAGCTTCAGGCTATTCTGGCTTTCCAGCTAAAGGATCTTTCCCAGAAAATACTGGTTACAGTCTGTTGCCTGTAACCTGTGGATAGAAGTGACTTGTGTACAGAGCTATGCCATACTGGAACTTAGATATATGTACTAGTGTTTTCTATATATCCTACAGTGGACTGACTAATGAGGTTCATATCTGTTACCCATTTTAAGAAAGTCAGAATCCATGTTTATATTCTAAGTAAAGCCACTATTGTGATCCTAGCATAAGGACCCTCATAGCCCTTCTTCAATAGCAGGCACTTAAAAAAGAAAACTGCATATTATAAGGCCCATGTAGCAGTTTTCTACACAACTTGAGTTCCAAATTTTTTAACCAGAAAAAACTCACCTCCTCTCTGGACATTTGTGAAGTACACAGAAATCTCAACAGCGGTATTTTTCAGATATGTTTAGCATTGTTCCAGCAGCCTCTTTGGAAATCAGTCATAAAACTGTTCTTGGGAACGGGACAGCAGCACAGACACTGATGTTGATCACTAGTGGCTGCATGATACACAGTGTGTGAACATAATATTGTAATAATCAGTAGCGCACCCAGGAGAAATGATGACATTCTAAGTGCATATTTCATCCACAGAGTGTACAGCAAACCACATCCATCTGCACAGCAGCAGGCAGCTTACAAGGAAGGGACTTCCAGACTTTTGCATGTATGAATACCAAAAGTTCTGGTTAGTTGTCAAGAACTGAGAACCCTACAGTGGTGCTTTCAGCCTTAGCTGAGCTGGCACAGTGCAGCTTTCTGAAATAGTTCACATTGTACTGATCTGCCTACCCTATTAGAGCACAGCTTCAGAAAACTAAGGCTGAACTTCTAGTGAGACATAATTGAATCAGATATTTAGTGTGTAAGATACAAAATACTCCATAAAACTGCATCTAACTCTCTGCAAAACTTGAAACAAGAAGAGGTTGCTTTAAGATCTCTTCATGTGCAGGACAAAATGAATTTTTTTTTACCTGTCTAACTACTTGTAAATAAAAAAAGCATAATTCAGATTCCTGTTGTATGTCGAAGTATGACAGAGAAACAAAAATCCTCTGAATGTCCTTTCTTTTCCCTTCAATGTGACTTTTAAAACCTGCAAAATCGGTGCTGCTTGAAAATGTTTTCTTTCTTTATTTGAATGTTGTAGAAGTTAGAATAATTTATCTCTTATGTCAGAGAAGTTGAATGTCTCCAAACTCCAGTCTAATCCTGAGTTGCTCTTTTACTTGCTTGTTTTTGAAATGCTGAAGTAGCCACTGAAAGGTTCTTTCAGCATCAGTTGTAGCAGAACAACTATAATTATCACATCATTGGTGTACCAGCCCTATTTCTGACACTATGGGAAGTTCCAGCTCAACCTGAAGTGGATTTTTGGTCACTGTAAGGGGCATCTGGATTCCACTAACTCTATTGATCTACTGAAGAGAACTCAGATACTCAGGAATTACAGAGACACCTAGGTGTGGGTATCCAGGGCACAGGGAATATTTCTCTGTCTGCTCTGAGGGGTTCTGACCCCCAGAGAAATACTGTCTTTAACCTTTGCAGACAGAGAGAACTTCCCAAGACTTCGAGATAGACTAGAGTCTACAAAAGTGTGAAATGGATAATAGAGAATAGTATAGTATATCACTTGTGTGAGAAACTTAGGTTTTGGGATTTTTAGTATGGTGTAGATAGGAAGCAAGATGGGGGAATTTGGGTGTAGTCCCTGTCTTCTTCTTCTACTCCATTTTCTGCAGTGTTGGTGGCACAGGGTGATTGGTCAAGGAAAGCACAGTGTAGAGGTTACGTGGACAGTCAAGGAATGAGTTATTGGTAGATAAGAAATAATTTACATTTTAAGAGTTAATTGGATAAAACCACTTTAAAAGACCTTGAAACTGTACTTTTCAGGGCCATTTTGGGGTGCTGTTCTAGCATGCTGAGCCTGTAGTGGACAGCTTGCAAAACTTTAGATAAGATAACAATAAACAAGAAGCTGAAGACTGAAAAAGTCCCATGAGTCTCCTTCTTCCTGGCACAGAACTATTACAAGAGGTTTTCCCCCCATTTGAGGAGCCCCCCAGAAGGGCTCAACGTAAAACAAACATCAATACCTAGGTCTTGGTTCAGTTGCCTAAACCTAGTGGAATCTGAACTGCCCTAGGGCATCTGAAGCATCTGCCCAGGCTGTCATAACACTTACAGGAGACCTGTGTCTTTCTGGGCTGGCAGCCAGAGATCAGGTGGAATATTGTGGAGCATCTTAAATGACAAAAAGCACTTTGTTGAGATAAGTGAAAGAATCACTTCAGATACCTACATTTAGACACATGGAAGTTCAAACCCACTCCAGCTTCCACATGAAGGTCCACACAAAATAAAGGGGGAGAATATAATAATGAAAAATGCCAGTATAATTGTTTGGAATTGGCGTCTTTGTTAGCACTAGCAGAAGATGAAATCATAAAGCAGGACATGACTGATTGCTCTGGGAAGCTGTGCATATTGTTCCATTTTTTTCCCTATGAAGGTAGCTGAGCTGGTTTTGTTCTATATTCTTTGTGCTGTGGCTCATTAAGACTTTGAAAATTTACAAAACCCAAAGACCTAGGCTACACTTCAGATTTCTCCCTTTCTTTTTAGAAAATCTAAACTCACATTTATCTTTGAGCTTCTATCAGTATGCTATTGGATTTTGTACAAGGTCTTGTAATTATGTCCAAGGATCTGACATTGATGCCTCTCTTTGTCAAGGTGGAGCTCAGCAAAAGTGGTCAGCCATGTATTTCTTCGGCCAAAGAAAGAAAACTCAAGAAATTTTTGATATTTCATGGGTTCACATAAATGTTAGCAAACTCTTAAACTTACAACACCCTATAAAGTAACTTGGAGAGATTAAAATGAATTTCAGTGAATGTATTTTTTGAAAAATGTTTTGGGTCAACTTAAGGGTGGAAAGAAAATATTGTTTCTCACTGTTCTAATTATGCTGAAGAAATTAGTAAAAATTATACACACAAAAAACTACAACCGGTAGTGAACTTATGTATCATTATTGCAGTATCTACAAACACTAAAGGTGTAGAAAGCTTAAAGCCTAAAGATATTTAATTTACATTATTTCAAAAATAAGTAAGGCTTGCTGCCTTTTCTGTGCTTCTGCCACCTTTCTTCTGTGCTATTCCACCTTCCCAAGAGTCCCAAGAAGATGCATTTGTCTTCCCTCCCTATGTTCTGCAGTTGCTACTGCTGCTCCAGTGGTTCAGAGCATGCTTGGAGTGTGCACTGCTCTGGTCTCTTCTGTGCTCCATCTCGGCCACTGAAGCATCAGCAGTGGGATGTGAACTTAGTTAGCTGAAGTTCTGATTATGAAGCAGCTAAACTGAAAGGGGGATAAGGGGAAAAGAGAAGCTTATGTGAGAGAAATCACCCCAGACAAGAACCAAGGCTAGAAAAGGGGAAAGAACAGCATAAACATCAGATGGAACATCAGACTTCAGCTCATACCTGGTATCTGGTATTTTGTCTATTTCAGGCTGGAAACAAACAAGAGATAGAAAGATGTTCTAGTGTTTATTCGACTTCCTTGTTCAACATGTTTTGTATCTTTGTAGATCGCACTATGGTTCTTCAGTGCTTGGCACACAACTGTAAGGAAACCCTCCATAAAATTAGCTACTCTTTTTGAATGTCTTGATATCCATGGATCTAGGCTTGTCCCTACCACATATGATATGATATAAGAGAAATGCAATGAAGAGCATCATATTACAAAATAGGTAGTGTCACCTTCTATATCCAGACTGCTCTACAGCCTGTGTGACAGTCTCTAGAGCTCAGTGCATAGCTGCAGCATACAGCTTGGCCTTGTGTCTACTCATTTGAAGTAATTCCCTACTTAGTGAATAATCTTTGCCCAGCAGTGGTTTTCAGGTTTGTTGGTAATATTCAAGGTGCCACATAGCATTGCATCTGTTCTTAATTGGATATTTTATTGACATTAACCTACTCAGAACAAAAGAAGCTTGTAAGAATTGCTTATGCACCTTAGGAGTGACATCAGCGTTAATCTGTCAGCATTAATGGTGGGTATTTGTTCCACAAGTGTTATTTACATGCAACATTCTTTGTTCTTTTCAGTCATCCTGACTTTACCTCTTCACCTGCCACATCTTTTCCTCTTGCCTGTTTCTATTCCTGGTTTCTGAGCTTAGAAGCTCTGAACCCAGCAGTGGGCTGGTGAAAAGAATGGTTTAGCATTACAGAGATTTTTCTCTCTCTGCCCAGAATGTCCTCATTAATTTGGTGGGAAATAAAGTCTCACTTTCTCAAGGGATACTGTTGCTTTATGACCATTCTTCATGTTAGCTGTTTCAGTTAGAGTGATTCAAACTTGAGTTTGTGTGAGAAGGACTGTTTCCTGCTAGATTTGGAATTACCTCTGAGTGAGCAGAGATGGGTTACATTCCCAAATTGATCCTGGTTTCCACAAACAGTCATTTAGATCAGGACTGTTACAAAACATGTAAATCCAAACACATCCCAGATGGCTGATTTAAAATCCAAATCCAAGCTCAGACTTTCCCCAGGCTCAGAAAAATCATGTTTGATATTTGAGTAAGGTCCAGAATAAAAGTTACTTGCAGCTATTGGGTTTGGAGCTTGTACTCTATCTGGGTGATGTTTGGGACACAATTCAGTAAGCTAGTCCTATGCCAAAATAGAACTCTTCTTATGAGTGCTGTGAAAATAGAGGGTAAATTATAACAAAATATGGTCTTAGTCAGGAGTAGAAAAACTTACAGCCATTTCAGCTCCAAAGATTTTGTTCAGTTTTTACTGTTCTAGATAAATAGAGACCAAATATGTTATTTTAGGCAGATCTACTTCTGCTTGTATTGAAAGCAGATAGATGTTCTTGGAAGACTAACTTTACACATTTAGCATTGAAGATTTTGACATGCATATGGATGCTATGACCAGAATTGGGGGCATTAAATATTGTTCTCATAGTACTTACTACTATTTGAAAAATTAATCTCTTTGCACTACTTCCACTTTATATTCTTATATTCCTAAAATTCTTAGTTAGGTATTGAGGATTATAGTGTTTTGTTGATTTTTCAGCAGAACTTCCCAGATCTGTCAAAAATAAGGCAAGTAACACTCTTAGAAAGGATTTGCAGGCCTGTCTATGGAGAGAATTTCAGGAAAATCAAGGTAAATTCATTTAAGAACTGAGCACAGTAAACAGATGACAAGGTGCTTTAATATGCCATGACAATTGTCTTAGTGCTTATTGGTCTTAAATTGCTTCTTCTCTTATGATTAAGAAAAGTGTGTAAGGTTACTTTAACTTGGTTAGGCCACACTCCATCCAGCTATTTAAAGGAAATAACACTACCTGTGCACCTCATCTGACCTGTTCATAGTGTCTTTGAATATGCAAGCCATACACAACCCCAAGGACTACAAATGATTTTGCCTGTTTAATTTCTAACATATATGGGAGGGCTGGGATGGCATCATGGACACTTTTCCGTTTCCTGATTCTGCAAGCTATCCTTTCATACATCCACTTAGATAAGTAGTCCTGGTCCTATGAGTAGAGTTCTGCAAGTGCAAATTTGCTGAAAAAAATGATACTCTGTCTTACAATAACTAGGAGTTCAGAAAGAATGAGGATTTGGTTTAAACATTCTTAAAACTTGGACATATGCAACAGTTTTAAGTCACAAAACTTATTTTTAACCCTGTAAAGACAAGAATTGACAGTAAAAAGATGCCTGTAGGTTGTTCTTATTTACTATGAATAATTACTTAGTAGTGCACAGGAACAGTATTAACAAGTTTGCCAGGAAGGATTGACAATAGGACATTGAAGAAAGCATTATCAAGCAATATTCAAACCACTGTACCTTCCATTTTGCCATGGATATAATAACCCACAACTACACAGATATACTGCTACATGTCTGTAGATATGTGCACAGACCTTTGCATTTCAAGGTACTATTCCAAGAATTTCTGAGACTTTTGATTCAACTCATTAATCTCAAGATTTTGAGTGTTCTCATATATATGGCATCTAAGAGCAAAATTACACTGAGTAAACATGCAAATGTGCAAGCCATGACTGTTCTAATTATGCATTTAGGTTAATCAGAGAAATAATTGTGCATGTGTTGGATTTTCAGATGTCTTCTTGCTCTTGACAGATTGAATCTGGATTTGTATGATAAAATGAATGGGGAGGAGAACTTCTTTGCATCCACATTTTTGAAAAGTACTAGGAATCAGTACCCATAGTTTAGAAATGAAAAAAGGAAATGACACAATATTAGTGAGCTGAGGTTACATATAAGCACATTGGTCCAAAGAGTGGGAGTAGACAAAAAAGAAAAGATATACTGAAAATATAAAGTGGATTAAAAACAACAGTTGTGAGAAAGACAGCACTCAGCTGTTTTTTAATAGTTCTCAAAATGTTTTTCAACTGTGAAAAACATTCTTCTGTATGAATAAAATATCAAAATTTTTCACATTTGAGTTAGCATAACAGAGACTTTTTTGTTACCAAAACTCCCAGGATATTTTCTTGAAGGAATAACTCACCTTGCTTTGAGCACAGATTTACATAAACAGGTTTTCCTGTCTCGCTGGCTTTTAGCTGCATCCATGTATGAAGGTATTTTTTACTCCGCTTGGCCATTACCTTTTGACCTTGTTTTGTGAGGAAAAGGGAGCTGTTGGCCACCTTCAGGAGCCCATCCTCGTGACAATTCCACCTGACTGCCTGGGGACAATCGATGATGACGCTGCGAGATGACAGAGCAGAGCGTGTAGAGATGCTCAGGCACTGGGCAGACTTCACATGGAGGAGCCTGCCATCTGCCATCCACTGCCACTTCTGATTCAGGCTGGTCATATTGCACTTTTCCATAATGACTCCTCTCTTTTCTGAAAGACACTGCTGTTTCTGGACATGGATAATCAGAAACCCTTCTGGAAAAGGAAAATTCCAGAAAAATATGATTGATTACATTTTTACTTGACAAAAAGCAACTTCTCAATGATTTAAAATAACTGACAAATAAATCTTTCTTCCCACGTTCTGTGTGTTGAACATTTCATGAAACTTCCCATAAGTTGAACCTATTTTAAAAAACCTTCCAAACACAACACTCACGTGATGCATGTGCTGGTAATGTAAATAAGGAAAATGCAAAACCCCAAGCTATTGTGGCAAGGTTCTCTTGACATGCATTATATATAAAAAAAAGAAAAAATTAAACTGGATATAAAAGAAGTCCAAGAACTATTAACTTCAAACACCAGTTCCTCATTTCCCCTGCTGGAAAGCAAACAGATCTACATGCATTCTCAGTCTCTGTTTCAGTTTTACAACACGGACTTTTAAAAATATAATTTCCTGCCTAAAAGTTGTTTTAGTAAAATTCATAATGTTTCTAAGGGAAACATATAGGAGGATATTCACAGATCTATGTGTCTCTCAATGCATGTGTTACAGGAATGGAGGTTCTTTACTGATAGGAAGCACATCTGTTTTACTGGATTTATTCCAATGTCTCTAGCTGTTAGCTTTGTGATGATTCCAATTCACATAAGATTAGCTCTCTGTGTCACCACACTTAAAGATCAACACCAGCTACTCAAATGAAGAAAATTACAGTGCATTAATCAAAACCCCATAAAGCTACCAATGCAAAACACATACTTGTAACAGAATGCAGAACTGGTTATTTCAAATGCAGCCTCCTTCCCATATTGTGTTTAGGTTGTTCGTTGTTTTTAGTCTCAGTTACTCAGACATTTCCAGCCTTATTGGTTACAAAGTGCTAAACCAAATGTGCATTTATTTACCTCAATTGATGTTGTCATTCCCGTTTTTACAGACCTGGTAATTTTCTAACTAAGCATTACAGAAAATTCTTGCATCTGAAATTTCATAAAGTATGAATAAAAGATAGGAATCTCCTGTCTGAAGCATTTATCCCAAAAACTCAGCTCCTGGATTGTCTATCAGGAGATCTTCTTAAAAAAAGAAGATGTATCTCCAGCATAGAAGAAGACAGTTTATTTTCCTTTGGAAAGGAATCTAAACAGAATGGGCTGTGTTGGCCCTGCCCCTCATTCCTCTGGTACGAAGCCCAGAGAAGAGGTGACTTGGTTTCTGTAAGTCACCAGCTGTGCCGGAGGGCTCTGCTCAGTGGCAGAAAGAGCAATTTGGCAGAGGGGAAGTGGGGAGAGACACTTACCTGAGAATGCCAAGGCAAGACAGGTAGAAACCAGGACGTGAAATAAAGAATCCATTTTCCCTCTAACAACTCCCCATGCTTCTCTTAAAAAAACCCACCTCAGATAAGTGAAGCGAAGGCTAGGAAGGAAATGTGCCTTCACGGGGGAAAAAGTCAGTGACGAGCACTTCCTTCTATTCAATTGTTTTGGGGGGTTTTACAGTACTTTGTCCTTTTAATATGATTCTTCAGTTTACTAGTTGGTTTATTTTGGAAAAATACAAGCAAAAGAGAAGTTTTCAAACACCTGGGAAATTAAAAGAGATTTTGTTGAATCTCTTTAGACTAAAAGACAGGGGATCATACTTTTGTGTTATTTGTTGCATGTGAACTATTACAAATCTACAGGTCATCTGGATGTTGCTGACTAAGTATATTCTATATTATTCAGGGAAAAACATGTATTTTTTGTAACTCTACACAATCAAGCAAAATCTCAGTATATTTCTAGCTCCACAAGTTCTAAAAGCCAAGTGGAGGGTGGGGAGGAAGGGGAAGAGGAGGAGGCAAAGCTCTGGCATCTGTACCAGGTCTTATAGAAACTCCCCCTGAGGAATCAAGTGATGCTGGGTTTGCCTTCCCATCAGGTGGTGCACCTTGCTCCATGTCAGCTGGGGATTGCCTGTGCCCTCTGGATTGGTTCCCAAGTGATCAGAAGCCATGGTGCAGGCTGACCAAATTGTGCTGGGCTGAGCCTGTTTATAGGGGTACAAGAGTGTATGTGCATTAATTACTCTAGGCAAGAACAGACACTTCAGTTAATATTTTATATTTAGGGTTATTTATTAGCAGTATGAAGCAAAGTCAACATTAAAAAATCAATACAACCTGTAAACAGATCTCCCATTGCTGTAAGCCATAATGCCAACTTCGTGTATCTCTCAAAAACAAACTTTTACTGAGCAATAAAGGAAACAGTCATAGCAGCATTTTCTTTCTTGTATAACCTGTCATGGAAGAGTCCATATCACTAAAGGTATCTATCTCTTACTGAAAGAAATAGAGCAGATAAACAACATATGCAAAAATTTCTGTATTAACAAAAGACAGACAAATATTTAAAATCCTTACCATTTAATATATGCTACAAAGTTTGTTTTAAAAGTAGATTGACTTATACAATTTACAAATACACTGGATTCAGGTCTGTAGCAGAAGCATGTTCTAAGACAATCAACAGTTTAGGGTAAATACATATACACTGAATAACAGACATTGTGCTCTGCAACTGCTCTGTAAGACCTACAGTAAGTACACATTTAATAGTTAATAGGATGAAGAACATATATTTCCATATAAAATATTTACTGCTTTTGAATATTTTTAAAAACAAGATTTAAAAAAAATTTTATTATCTCCTTTTTTTAATCCATAATTGAACACTTGCAACTTTAGCAGCAAGAATATTATGTGGCCAAGGAACAAGCTCACCACATAATCAGTAATAGCACTTTACAGTACAGTTGACAGTCCATTCACAAGACAGTTTGCAAAACGTCAAAGCTTTTATACACTTGTTAAATATTTCTTCTGTAGAAGTCCCAATGTCCATCTGACTGCAGCAGGAGCACATACATACATTCCATATGGCAGATATCAGCATTACAGAATTAAACTCACCTTTAGATACATACACAAAATCCATGTGTAGTTTCAGTACAGTACCTTCTTTATAAATCATTTTTGGGAAGCTCACAATACATTCATACATAGTAAGGGTCCAGCAATCTCTGTACTTTTGCCAACCATCCACAATCTTTTCAGAAGTTGGCCTCAAAGCCGTCTTTCCTACTGCAGTAAACTCCTTGAAGAAGCTGCTGGTAGGTAATGAAATAAATTACCTCAAGAGACTGACATTTGGTTTTACCCTCCTCGTCTTCACTGGACAGCTTCTGCAGAAAGTCTTCTTTCATACAGACTCAGTGCATGGTGCACAAATTCATACTGCTCGCTGGTCTGAACCATTCCACCCCTGGAAAGGAAAAAAACTGCACTGAAATCTTATTTCTTAAGACTGCAACACCCTCTAGCTCCTGCCAGCCCCATGACCACAAGAAGACACAAGCCCTTTCTTAGTTTTTGACTTACAGTTTGCTTGAGTAACTGGGAGATATTTGTCAGAGAAGAATTACTTTCCTCATAACTTATGCCATACAGCACATGCCCCACATGAAAAATTCGCAGTTCCATCAGAGTAAGAATTAGAGAAGAAAGCATCTGGTATCTACAGTGTTAAAACCTACATTTCAAATTCAGTATATTAAAAGAGAATTTTGCTCAATCACATGGGCAAGGAAGGCCAGATACATGGATGCAGCATTACCACTGATGGAGCAAGGAAGTATACAGAATCTGGCCTTTAATTTCTGTCCTTTACTAAAAATGTAACCTTCTGTGACCTGCAGATGGCCTGTGCAGAGAACAGCTCTTCCTGTCCTCTTTCTAACGCCTACAATGCATCCTGTTCGAACAGCCACCACCTACAAAATTTTACAGTGGTGAATCATTTCACCACCAACAATTCAAAAGAGTTTAACCTAAAATAAAAATAACTAGTTGCAGCCAGCTTGGATGAAATGCTTACTTTTTATACATTCACCTGATAACAATCAATTTTTCAGGTCTAAGTATGAGGATCAAGTCTCACATCTCCAGTATCAGTTACAGTGTGGCAGGAAGGGGATGTCTTACAGGAGGCAGATGTGATAGGAATGTTATCATTAAGCTCTGAAAGAAGCAAGGGCCTCAAGTTTACTTAATTCCACTTCTATTATCTCATTTGCCAGGGTATTCAAAGCTATCTACTCTGCTTCTAGAAACAAGCCCTTGGTTCATCCTCAGTGTACCATGGAGCAGCCAGCAGCTAGCTAGCATCCCTTTGGGATGATGAAAGACTAAATGGCTTTAGTGAGAATGAAGACATTAAGATACATGCCACATCTAGCGTCAGTTAGATCTTAATTGAAACATTTAAATTTGCAAGGTATTTGGATCCAGAGCACTGTTGGAGCCAGATATCTTGCAGGAGCAGGTCTGAAAATCTCATGAGATCCCTAACAACAAATATAGTACTGATATACTAAGCTATTTGAAAAATGGTAAGTAAAATTTCCTCAACAAGTATTGTCCTTCAGTATTAGAGAAGGTTATCTACAACCAAAAGGTCCTTTTATTTTCTTCAGTGCTTCTGGATGGCTAAATGGCTATGGCAGGAAATTCATAATTAAAATAGTATCTACTTCTTTAAGCAAGTGACCAGTGGTCTGTGTTCCTCCATTGAGCTCAGGCAAATATAGAAGTGAGCCTTTTTTGCTATTCCTAGGAATAAAATCAGAGGTCATTAAATGGTCCCATCCAGCCCAAAATGAAACACTCATAGCTTTGCCAACAAAGGCATCCACAAATGTACAACTCTTGGCTGCCTTTTGCCTTCAGCTGCTTTCCTCTGTGCTTGTCCCCTGCCTGGAGATGAAGCGAGATACTAAAGGTGATGGGTGGGCTTTGCTCTGGTCCTCTGTGCTGCCTAGTCTCCTTCCTTCCTCCTTGCTGCTGCATCCTGCTCTGCCCACGCAGCTCCTTCCCAAACAGCTTCCCTCCCTGCCTTCCTCATCAATGTTCCCCCAAGATGTTCTCTAAGGGAGTGCACTTCCCAGGTTAGATGTGCTGTGTAAAAGGGTGGGGGAAGGGAACATATCCAGGAAGAAGAACTTTGTAGAAAGGGCAGGTTAAAACAATTTTGCCTGCACTAGGCTGTTTGTGATGGTGATCCTTACTCCTTCCTCTTCAGTGCTGAAGCAACACACAAAACCCCCAGGAAAGTGTGTGTAAGACTGTGGGGGCTGAACCCAGCACCATGGCATCTGCCCTGCGTTAGCAATTCAGAGGTTATGATGCTTCTGAACCTTGTATGGACTAACAGTCCATATGTCTGTCAGCTTAAGGGCATATGAGTCTTATACAGAGGTTTAGACAACTTAGCCTTGTCAGTGCCATTATACATGGCATTTACTGAGCCATAGTACCACAAAACAGTTTGGATTGGTGGGGATCTTAAAGACCACCTAGTTCCAAACCCCTGCCATGGACAGGGGTACCTTCCCTTAAGATGAGGTTTTTCAGAACCCCATCCAACCTGGCTTTAAATACTTCTAGGGATAGGAAGGTAAAGAATTTCTTCCTAATATCTAATCTGTATTTACTCTTTCTAAGTTTAAAGTCATTATCTCTTGTCCTATCATTGCAGACCCTGGTAGAAAGTCTTTCTCTGTCTTTCCCATAAGCCCTCTTTCATACTGAAAGGCAGCAAAAACGTATCCCCAGATCCTTTTTCAGGATGAACAGTCCCACCTCTTAGACTTTCTTCACAGGAGAGGTGTTCTGTCCCTCTGACCATTTTCATGTCCCTTCTCTGGATCCACTTTAGTAGGCCCATGCCTTTTTTGTCCTGGGGAGCCCAGAGCTGGATGCAGCTCTCCAGGCAGGGTTTCACCAGAGCAAAGCAGAGGGGCACAGTCCCCTCCATGGACCTGCTGGCCACACTGCTTTAGATGCAGCCCAAGATACACTTGGCTTTCTGGGCTGTAAGTGTACACTGCCAGCTCATGCCCAATTTTTCATTTACCTATCCCAAGTCCTTCTTAACTTCGTTCTTATGCAAGGCTCACATTTCATAGCAGGGAATTATCTGTGATCCCAAGACATTGGTTTGTGGAAATGTTTGTGTGGAAGAGCATTTCAGGAGGAAATTTGCTCAAGGAGGGAGGTTTCCTCTCCTGTGTCCCTAGTGCCTAGAAGGGATGTAGCCACAGCTACAGCACCTGTGAACGTGCAGCCTTTGTCTGTTTGCTAGTCCGCACTGCCAGCTACTCTGTGAGCTACTGGGCTCTCTGCTTCTTTGAGACTCTTTGGGCTGGTGCTTGGAAGAAACAGAACCTGGTATCCTGAGGACTCAGGGACTGTGACCATCTTTGCTTGGGTAGCAGTGAGTGCATAAAAGGTCCTTTACCCTGCCCTCTGGCTTGCTGCTAGTGCAGCTGCATGCAGTCGTTCCAGAATAAATGCGA